GCTGTCGGCAAAGCTTGATCCACGTCAAAGGAAGAAAGAGGGAAAGTCTCCAGACAAAAAATTGTGGTCAGCGGCCTTCGAAAAAGACTTTCCGGAATCGCACTGTCGTCCCTCCACGCGCTGATATGAAAGCACCCGAGCTTCTACCACGTGGTTCATGACACAGCCTGAGCCATGTCGGTGACACAGCCTGAGCCATGTCGGCTCAATAAAATGATGCAACATGTTTTTAATGCAAATGAATGCCGAAATAGAGTATAACAGGTTACCTAAATTTAAAAAAAATCGAGGGTGGTGTTTTTTTCTTATTCACATCGGAATTTTTCTTTGTTTGATTTTTTTTTCATGTTTGACTAAATATATCCTAACTATTGTATCACACAGATACCTTAGTTATTTTTTAAATATTAGCTATATATTAGTAGAATAATATCTGCAAATTATATCATAATCATTAAATTATTTCATGAGATACAGACCTCCAAAGTTTGCCATTTGTCGTTCGAGCAGGCATGTTTGTCAATTTTTAGAAAAATAAATAAATTTTAAATAAATATGATTACTTTATATTACAAGCAAGCTATACCCATAGTTTGCGCCTAAAACGTATTAGAGTTCTCCTAATGTTATCGCTTTAGTTATTCACTCTCAAACGGGCCCCCTCCATCAGTGCGCGTTAATGCAACTGTCCACCACCTCATGCATTACGATTTTTCCTGTCCCCAAGTATTTTTTCTAGTCAAAACTAAGTTTGGATTCGTTCATACCAGACACTAGACAATAACATATAAAAACATCTGTTGATTTGAAAATGTCGACTAACCATCCTTTGGTCGATCTTATCTGAAATCACCCTGTATCTAACATTAGAAATTCTGGCTTGCAATTACCCAATTAACACGCTGTTTACAAAGAAACAAAAAATCCGCGTTTTCTTTTATTAGGTGTGTCAACTATACACGTGCGCAGAAGTCAAATTCGCGTGAAGTAATCCGTTTGCTCGTGCGCCGCGCGTTGGTGTATAGTGTGTGCACATATACGTACCGCGAATCCAAGCCATATGCTTAGTTTAACGGCGGAATGTTCCGACTGCTTCTCCAAATGACAATTGCGCGGGTTCGAGGTGAAGTGAGGGGTGAACGACCTGTCGTTCTCGACGCACGAAAGTGTCCGATCGGCTATATAATTAAGCAGCCTGCAGGTGGCCCACAGTGACCGCTGCGGCGCGTGAATGACCGCGAGCCGGGGGTGTAGTGAGTTTATACAACGACATCCACGCGGACGAAAGCACGCCGTTCCGGGGCTCGGAGATCTGGCCAGACGCCTCCGCAGCTCAATTTTGAGATAAGAGAGCACTAGCTGCATGCAGTTCTGGCTGGCCCAAAGCATTAACGCGACGACTCAAAAAAAAAAAAAAAAAAAGAATCATGCGTTGCGTGCACGGTCGAGTCACGTTACATGCTGCTTTATATGTAATCAACAGCGGGGATCGCGTCCAATCTATCCGGCTCTTCTGAAAAGGTGATATACGTATAGAGCATATATATGGATCTTGAAGTCGTTAAAGGAGCAGGGCGCTAACTGAATAGTTGCTGACAGGCAGCCAGGGCATTTCTTAAGTTTTCTCCTCAACTTATTAACTTATTAAGTTGTTTTCTTGCGTTCACGTTTCTTGCTTCGTTATCCGTTCTTCAGCGTTCTTATCAGAGAAGCTCGCAATCCCACTAGCTGCAGAGAGATATAATGAGGCGCCCGCGACCCGCTCCGCCCTGCGTTTCTTAAATTTCGAGCAGGCTAGATAAACCTTTCTAGCTCTCATCACCCGGGAGGAAAATGCAAAGTCACTGGTCGGTGGACGCATGCGTCGTGCTTGATATTCCGCAAGATGAAAGCTACTGCATGCGCACGTCCAGGACAAATTCCGCACGCGCAGAAAACCCGTTATACCGCTAAGTATGGAACAATAATGCGTCCTTTGCATGCAGGCTCAGCGCCTATCAAAAAACGACAGCAGTTAGGCAGTCATTCTCTCGCTCTCCTCTCTTTCAACCCGCCCTTACGTTCCATCTAGACACTAGTTCATCCTTATACGCCAATAGAACGAGTAAAAAGAAAATGCACAAATGCTCTCTTTTTTTTCCCCGTTTCACCGTGGCGTAATAAAATGTAACAGTAATCTGTGCAACAAAGCACGTCTTACGCGGAATCCCCGCACTCCTGTCGGCAACGGGCTTGGCCTTGCGCGCTTGATACAGGAAGAAATAAAACGCAGTGTGGGCATTTCTTGCGTTATTTTAAAATTCTATTAGTGTACATCCTGTGTAGAATGAGAACGAGCAACCATGAAGACAAACGATGAAAGTTGCAAGTTTCACTACCAATAAGAGCTCGCAATGATTCAAAATTTAGACTTCCTTTGAGCGTGTGTCTTCGAAATTACCGTCAAGGTATAGGATTGCTAACAAAGAGGACGTATTCGAGGAGACATTACATTTTCCCGAGGGGGGGGGGGGGGGGGGGGGGGGGGGGGGGTTCACAGACATGCAGCAGAAATGCCCATTGCGGCTTCTGATTCGCGACTGGGAGCAGTCCACCTGAAGGACATGTTTCTCCCAACGATGTGTCTTGCCGAAAAGTGGACTAGCGTATGTTTTGTATGTTGAATTACGATATCATAAAATTGAAACCAGTAGCGATGCTGCGACACGCCTTTTTTTTTTTTAGCATTGCGATGTTCGAATTGCTTAAAACCAAAAGACCGAGATTAACCTTCTTGATTTAATGCTCGAACCGAATTGAGAAGTTCAGAGAAGTTCAGGTCGCACCGAGAGCTGGTTTTACCTCCTTTTGTTTCCCCAAGAAACCCTCATCTACAGCACGTTTCACTGTTCCAGAACTTTTAATTTCAAAGAGTTTTAGGGACAAGAATACTATCACGCTTTTCTACAGTATGCAGCGCGCGAAAAAAACAAAACAAAACAAAAAACGAAAACAAGAATGTCACGCACCTGTGATCTACCCACACACGTCAGCGGTTGCTGAAACGTTCTTACTTGTCGTTTTATTTTTCCCTCTTTCATTCATTTCTCTTCGTACATAAAGCGGGTTTTTATTCTAAACATTTGAACAGCTAGTGACAAATTTCAGCGAAGGTGATCACTGTACCAGCAGCTTTTAAACAAAGTGTCCTTCTCCTTCATCGAATTCTTCTATGCAACCACAATGAAACTATCAAATCATCATTGCCAACTGAGGAAGTCTCCCTCAACACCGTATCTTTTGGGCGCAAATTGAGCCTTCACTCGTTTCTTCGAGTCAAATTTACTCCTCGTATGCCTTACGCTTAATTCTCCCTTTTGGCAGAACGCCAAGAACGTGTGGCGGCGGTGGCGGCGCGTCCGCTCACTTCGTAGAAGCGGCCACGTGACGACGGCACCAACTTGGCATGCAACGCGCCGTCTGCAACGACGAAAATGAGCGGCGGCGGACGATTTTGGTTGCGTACGCGAGCAAGCGCGCATAAAGCGCGAGCCTTCGCCGAAGCGGACCGGCCAGCAGAAGAAGGGCGCTAACATTCCAGTCGAATTGCACACGCACAATCCCTCCTTCCGAGAGCAGCCGCGCTTTCACACAAAAGCCCTCGGGGGAATTCCTGCTGCTTGCCTTGCCGCCTGCCACCGCTCGCTCCCCTCCTCAGCCCCTCCCACCGGTGTGTATCTCTCCTCGCGGCAGCCGCATTCTTGCCCCCTCCGTTGTTGGATTCACGACCACGGGGGGGCACCACCTCTTCACGAACACACAAAAGGACGAGGGCGCGGACAACCCTACGTACGCTTCCCGCCACGAACGCGTTGTTTTTTGGTCACGTGATGCGTACGAACCAATCATATTCGGCAACAAAAAAGAGTAAACCAATGGAGGCGACGATTTAAAGTCACGTGGCGTGCCAGAGTGCGTCACTGGCGTCAGCCTACCCTGAAAGTTGTCGGCGTTGTCGGGGTCGTCTTCGTGAGGCGCCGTGAGGCGTGTTTTGTGTTGTTGTTCGCGGCGACCATCTGCTTCGTGTGGAATGTGCTACGCATTTGGGAGTTGCTTCTCTTTGTCGTTGGGCTATTGTGTTCATTCTGATGATTTTTTTTAGAATAGGCGTAGACACCGAAAAAACTAATGGAATTCTGCTGCTACATTTGTTGGTCGGCGTTGGACACGTGCGCGCGTAGACTAGGAATAAGTTCGGTTCCGAAAGCTGCTCAATGAGGCTGAAGTTGCGTCGATCGATGTGCAGGCATCTGTCGGAAACAGATTCCTGCTTAACGTTGGGAAGAATTGTGACCCATTATTCACAACCTAAATATTTTTTTCGTTGTAGAGTAGGGGGCAGCGCAACAGAACGTAATGATCGTGTTGTTTTACTCTCCGTTTTCGTTCTCCATGATTAAAATGTCTATTTCAATTCAGCTCGCCTGTATGCTTTCATTAGCTTGACTTATTCACATTTTTTTCCCCCGCTATTTGTGAATTGTGAAAAAATTTTACGCGGACAAGTCAGTTTAATGTGACGATAGAAAAATGCAAAAACGCCACTCTTTTTCTTTTTATTTGCGCCAGGGCTGTTTAACGCACTCTTTGGATGGTATTCGAGATAACAGCATTTTCAATCTTGTTTTACGTTGACCGTCGAAGACTAGGTATTCCCCACCAGCGTGCCACTAAACTCACGGCAGTGTCAACGTTATTTTACCCGCATTAATCGCATTTCGAGCGTGCTTTTACTATGGCCTCGGCTTCCGAGTGTAATAAAACAACCAAAAGAGTAGCACATCCCGGCAAAGAAAAATATATATATATAAACAAGTCGAAAGGCCACCTGCCCACAGATGGGCAAGAGAAATAAGCAAAAACGAAACAAGAACGAAACCGGGTACCAAGAAGAGAGCGTCCTTCCATTGGTCAGTCATCGACGCGTGACTTTAGTTGGCGCTCTCTCCGCTAGGCCGACCGCCACAGCAGCAGACATTCCTGAGAGGAGAGAATGCGCTTCCTTCCTCTCCTCTCTTTTATCCGTGGGCGAATTCCAAACATTTCTTTTTCTTTCCGCGTCTGTGGTGTGCATTATTGCTAGAACACGTTTCGTTTCTTTGCTCCCATTAATAGAGTGTATTTTTGGTTGCGCGCAACAAAAAACACCGTGTTAACTGTCGCCCCTACGACACCAACGAAACAACCCCGCTACTCGTGTCTGTTCAACGCTCGAAGTCGAAGGTGAGTTTTACGAACTTCGTCGTAACTGCGGACGGTGGGGCGCCGAAAAAATGCCTCCTGCGGGACGGCCCGCATCCCGTCGGTAGGCCTAAGGAGCAGTACGCGAGGAGTTGGGTCGTTTTTAGCGTTCCTAGGCCGGAGATCGCTTTTCATTTAGAGCCTTTGACCTTTCAGTATAAACGTCCTGCCGTGTGTACCGCTGGTACTGCGAGATCGGAGAGGTCGTACTGACTCGGCGTCGAGGCAGAAAATGGAGCGAATCTGCGTTCTCCATACATTGAGGAAGCGTATTGATACGCGAGCTGCGGACGCTACGATCTCCGAAAAACAGCGTCGTACTATAGGTTTTTAGCGATCATTTTTGTGTCGTGTACCTTCTTAGAAATCCTCGGTTTAGTATACCTGCCGTCCGTAAACTTTGCGCCGTCGGAGACGGCTCGCCGTAGATAGCAACGAATGCAAGTGTGCGCATTCTTTCGATAAAGAGTAAAGGCTTCGGCGCCTTCTGTGTGTACTGTGCTTGCGTTCGCCAGATACGGGAATAGCTTTTATCGAATATTGCATGCCGCTATCTCATATTGTGTCCGATAAAAGTCGCGAGATTCCTTAGTGTTGAGTTATGAACGCGTTGGCTACGTGCGGTGCTTTTTTGAAGGTTATGGATCGACATTATTTGCCGTGTTCTCGCCTGCCTGTAAGCATATAGCTTTTTTTTTTTTTTTTTCCCTCTTTGTGGTTACTGCAGAATGCACTAGATGAGTGGATGCGACATTGATCAACACTCGACCCCACGATGAAGGCTGTACGAAGCACCCTGTCGACTTCCTACGCTCACAATGAGCAAGTGCCGTTCTACCAATCGAGTAAGTAGTGCCCAAGTCGTCGTCACACGGCGAGAAAATACCGAGCGAAGCGTGGGCTTCGTTGCGCGTTATACTGTTTGTTTTGGTTTGCTCGGATAGAGGGATCGTTGTCATGGTTCCTGGTAGCGTGTTCTGTTACTCTGCTTTTATTTTAATTTTTTTTAAACGCTTAGAATAGGCTGCAGGATTAGTTTCTGGAATGCTCTGTTTATGCAAGCCGTCTGTTTAATTTGTTGATATTTTTTTTTTCTAATACTCCCTGTTATAATTTATTTTTTTTGCCACATGGGTTTTAGTTACACTGGAGTTTTAAATGAAGGTAACGAGTAAAACCTTTACAAAAGGTAACAAAACGGGGATCAGAAAGGCACTGGGGTGCCTTATCCTGAAGTGACTTAGCAAGAAATTCTATTTCAGTGAGAGCTACCACACCTGTGTTTTTCTTTATACCTTTCCTATATTTATTGGTGATATACAAAGTTGTTTTAGTGACGCACACTTTATGGGTTTCTAAAGTGCGCTGCTTCTTTGAGTAATGCAACTGCACTTACAAAACATGGAGTGCAGAGAGCGCAACATTGTTAGCATGAACATGCCCTCGGCAGTTTTTTTCTCACTTTTCTCCTAAATCTGAAATGCTCTCATCACAACTAATAGGTGGTTTTCACTGGACGCCGTATTTGAGATGACTGCTAACAGCGTATGCTCGGGAGGAGTTTTCCGTCAGCTGTCTAGCAACCACAAGAGAAGAGGGGAAGGAGGAACTCTCTTCTCACCGGGACTCTCCTTTGAGTGTCCCAGACTAGCCCCTCACTCGAAATTCGTACAAACGCAGCTCTCCCTTCTCTCTCTTCCGTGGTGATGCAAAAGCAGCAGCGAGGTCAGCTATGGCCGCCAGTGAATACCACCTAAAGTGCTGGGGCCCTAAACTCATCAAACGCAAAGTTGGAGCTGAAAGTTTGCAGAGCGCGCCAATTGGACGCTGGCGACAAAAGCGCAAAGTCATCGTCGTGATAGTCCAATTGGTGCACTCCGTGAACTTTGGCCCCCAACTTTGTGTCTGACGATTTTAGAGCCCCTGATGACTATGCTCATGCTCAATGCTAACACAGGTGGTAGAATTCAGTTTCCATCACTTTTAAGTATGTCTAACATGAGTCCTTCAATAAGAGCTCTAATAATGCTAACAAAAAAAAAAAAGTGCCAATGTTGCGTTGTACAGTGTACCAATAATTGCAACTCCAGTGAGCATTTTTTTCTAAACACAACCTCAAAACTTAAAAAAACATTGTACAACCCAGCAACACAAACACTAACCTCAAAGAATAATACTACCCAAAGAAATGAGCCAAAAGAATCACTTTTTTTTTTAGAGAGATCAACCGTAACAGTAGACCGCTTTCAAAGTTGTGCGTTACCTAGTAGCCTCAGCATGAATTATCTGAGTTGCCATTGTTTGGGCACGTACTGGACACGAGGGCTGCGACAGCATTTGGCGTGAACTCGGCGCGGCTCATTTCGAGTAGAAACACCGCATCCGTGTTCGGCGATGACTCGGGTCCAATCCTAGGCTTCGTGCCCAAGAAATGGCGACCGTTAGTGTTGCTCGACGGGGTCCAAAAAGGATAGATCACTTTCTCGGCGAGGTTAACCGTAACGATTGGCCCACCCAGGCTACTGCCAGAGCTGCTCGGGCAGCGAGACAGATGTGTCCACGTCCAACGAAAACCTGAGCACTGAAGAGAGGCTGGCGCTGCGTCGGGGCGAGCGCCAAGACCCCCAGGGAGAGGAGACGGCTCTGACGGAAGAGGAGGCTGGCTCCCGCTCCAACACCCTGGTGATCCGAAACAACAGCTCCATCGACGGATTCACGTCGCCCTTCTACGGGAAGCTGCCCGAAAACGGGAAGTTGCCTGGCACGCCGGCTGCACCCGTCCGCGAGATCACAGACATCCCGAAGCACTACCTCGACCAGTCGGAGGTGTTGAAGCACCTGGCCAAGGAAGTGCACACGGATCCACACTGCGTCGTCCGGAAGGGCTCCACGGGGGGACTGTCGTTTTCGACTTCACATCCCGACCTTACTCAGGTGAGGCAGCGTCTTTTGTGTACCGTATTTAGCAGGCTTTAGCAGTCCGCGCCCGGTCTGTGGTCCGCATACACAAGTTTCGGTTTAAAACATGCTCTCGGAAGCCACGAATTTTGTTTGAATGATTAAACTTTCGTCTAATTCTAATGCGAGATAAAATTATAATTTTTTTATATGGATGGCTACACATACAAAGCAGATACTTGGGTATTTCCTCTACACAGACCCACTAATCATGAGCAGGTATGCCATACATGAAACGTTGGTGAAATGTATGAGATGAGTTTTTTATTCCATAGAAATGTTGTCTATCGTGGACTGTTTAGACAGCACGTGACACCTCAAAACAAATGCAAGTTTGTTTGTGCAGCAAAAAAGTTGTGTATTGTAGACTATAGCCTCGTTGGGGAGAAGCAACACCTGTGGAAGCGAGTTCTGCGGGTGTTGCTTCTCTGCAGTACACCGGCGCTCTGTAAGAAGCGCGCTCAACGGGGCTGCAAGACCAAAAGAGTGAATTACACGATAATGCTGTTCCAGTTAGGCGGCTTATGGGTACATTGAAAACGTAGCGGGACAGCAGCATTTTAAAATTTGTTTTAATTAATTAGAAGTATAAAAAGTTTGAATTATTGCAAGCCTACAGTATTTTCAAAAAAAGCTTGTTTTATACCTTTTCTATCTAGTTTCTGTGTGGAATTGACATACATTAGTATAAATTGTTTTGGTGTAGTTTCCTTTGTACGTGCCATTATACCGTGACCGACTGGTCGTTCTGAGGCATGAGACAAATAAAGCATTAATATTAATAATAGTATGATTATAGTCCACACCTGTTGCCTAGTCCTCACACAATATATTCTAAAACAGTACAGCTTGACAAATGCCTGCTTTATTAGCTCACAAAGAAGTTTGAATTGTCTATAAATCATTAACATACTCTGTCATTCACAATATCCGCCGCATCTTGTCGTAATAACCATTGAGAAAAAAAAAAAGAAAAAAAAAACTCGTTTAGTCTACACCTGTAGACAATCTGCACTGCATAAAATTTCAGCATCTAAACATGTTTAGTCTGTAGACTATAGTCCGGAAAATATGATACTGTTACTTGTCTTGTCTGTGCAAGTTTTTGGGAGAGCTGAAAACTCTTTGTCTTTGAGATGTTGTATAAATCATTGAGCAAAAGCAAAAGCTGCCTTTCCGTGCCTTCAGACACAGTGGATTGGTCCTTCAGACACAGTTTGGTTGTGCTCGGAGTATGCGATCAAACTACGCTGGACTCGAATAATTTGTGCGGCAGTTACAAGATGGCGCACACTTTCGAAAGGGGTCTATTGTAAGCATGAGGGTAAAAAGCTTCTGGAGGCGACACAATGCCACCAGGGGCGAAGCCAGAAGTGTGGAGAGACCCGCCCCCAACGATGACCAAAACCACAGAAGACACTATTGGACGAAAAGGGACCCCGAGGGCGACCAAAACAGCTGTTGGTGCCAAGTCGGCTTTTCTTTTCGTCCAATAGCGTCTCTTCATTTTGGTCATTGTTGGTGGCACTTCTCTCCACACTTCTGGCTTCACCTCTGATGCATCATGTCGCCTCCAGAAACTCCCTACGTCCACGCTTGCAAGCGTCGCCATAGTTCTCCGTTGCCCTCCGTCTCGGGTGTCGCGTCGGCTCAATACCCGGTTCCCCGCACACAGGTAGCAAACGGAGGAGCCGGTTCCCCGCGATGGAAGAACTCGTCGTCGAGCACAGACCCCGATGGCAGCGGCGCGTCCGCACGGAGGGGCTCGTCCCCTCCCCGGGGCGTGGCCGCCGTTACAGCCGTGGTGCTGCACCAGCAGCAGCAGCACGGGCGCACCCAGACGCCGGTGGACCCCGAGACGGCGGTCCAGGCGGTGGGGCAGCTATTGGAGGAGAACGGGGCGCTCAAGGCAGAGCTGGACCTGTACTACGGCAAGGTGTCGCGGTTGCAGCGCCTGGAGCTGGAGCTGCAGAAGCTCCAGCAGGACCACGACAGCCTGGTGGGCTCGACGGACAAGCGGGAGCGGCTGCACCAGGCCATGCAGTCGCGGCTGGAGCGGGAGGTGCTCAGGGCGCAGGAGGCCAGCCGCCGGTTCAAAGGTGGGTTGGTTGCGGAGGAGGTGCCGTGGTCGCCGATGGTTTGAGGAGGAGTTTCGGTTGCCCCGACTCCGGTGCGAGCGTCCTACCTTCGACGGCGCCTCGCACAGTGGAAGGCTACGATTCCTCGGCGTCTTGCGAGCCGCGAGCGTGCTTGCTCGGCCAAAGCACAGTGGAAAGCAACGAGGACGCCCCGCCTTTCTCTCGTCTTCGACAACCGTGGAGCACTTTGAGAGGTCGCGAGGGCTCAACGACAGGTGGATAGCGAAAGCATTTCTGTGGCTTTAAGGGTTTGCAGCATTAAAAGGTGATTTTGGAATCCACTTTGTGCCCCGAGCTGTATTTGGAAAGGGGAAAAGCAATTTTACCTCTTTTCGTACAGCATGGGAGAAGTAAGCCATATCCGAGGGCTTCGTATGGTGTTGCCCTTGTGTACTTCCACGATACACTTTTGAGCCCGTCGTGGATTATCACCTCTCGAGTCCAAAGAGAAATGGGGATAGATATCTGCTCCTGTTGTAGAGTATTTTTTTTACCTGGGCCTTTAAAACGGGTGCAGCCAGTGCAAGAAATTCATTTGCACCATCTGGTCGTTGTTTGGACCCTCGAGGCCTTTTTCTGTGTTTGTGTAAAACGCCAAACATTTCGGGCTAGGAAAGGCTTGGTCGTTGCAATGCGTGTCTAGTTGTTCCAAGGTGTATTTGGACTTAGAACATTTCAGGAATTTTTTACTTGCAACGTATATGCAAGGTACATAGTGCCCAACTGACAGGTGTAGGAAATTAGTTTTGACCAATGTCTTCTTTTTCTGCAGAACAACTGGACGGAGCACTGGCGCAGCTGAATATGCGATCGGTGAGTGCTAATTTTCATTATGTATGCCGTGTCTGGCAGCTTGCGCGCTTTTATATCTGAGATGAGATGTCCTTTAGGCCGTAGCTCCAGTTTTGTTATGTTTAGTGCTACGAAGAGAGCTGTGGGTAATAATGCTAAGGTGCTCTTTTTTTTTCTTTTTGCAGCTGCCCGACCACAATGATTCGGAGCTGAAGAAAGAGGTCAGCCGGAGGGATGTTCTCATTGCACAGCTTCTCACTCAGAGTAAGTGATATTTTGTCATTTGTCATCTGGGGGATCTTTTGGTGCAAGGTGAAAATGTTCTATCGCAGGCATCAGTGAGTCTTTGTAGTGCAAAGTCTCGCATGCCTTTTCTGCATCTGGATTCCCAGTCTCGCTCTTGAACTCATTTGCCGCATTGTCATATTTTTCTGATAGGAGGAGGTTTCTATAATTTAACCTCACCGTGGCACGTTGACATTTACCAGTTAATGCCCGGACATGTTAAAATGCTACATTTGACAATGAAACAAGGTAACTTGTTGAAGACTATGATTATTGCCAGAGCTCACTCTCAATTGGTAGTTTCGTTCCTTGGCTCTTGCTGGAACACAACCAACTTAAAATTGTGTGAAATTTTTGTAAAGAAAGAATGAAAAAACTATCAGTCACACAAAAATTGAAAGCAGGCTTTTAACAAATTTTTATTTGCGATTTGCATTCAGTAAATACCTTAGTATTTTACATGTGGCATGAAACAATTTTCGGCTGTTTCAAATTCAGTTGGTTTTCTGTGTGTGTGTTTAGCCTTTATGCTTTATTTGTGACTTTAATGTTACATAAGCCCTAGGCCCTATTTAATTAGAATTCAAGTATATGAACTATTCTTAGACTTCCGTCTGTTTTCCCTGACATCTTCTCTAGTTAATGGAACACTTCTACCTGTTCGTTTTCTCGCAGACAAGGAGCTTTCGGCCGAAAAAGAGCGCAAGGACATTGAGCTGCAGGCGCAGAGGGCCACCCTGCAGGAACAGCGAAACCACATCGACATCTTGGACACCGCCCTGAACAATGCCCAGGCCAACGTGGTCAGACTGGAAGAGGAGGTGCGTGCAACTCCTGCAATTTGACCCACGGGTTTCTGTAGGCAAAAGTTCCCAAATATTCGAGCAGCGCACACAATTGCGTGCAAATGCAAGAGGAAGTCATGTGCACATGCCCTCGCAAAAGTGCGGTGCTGCAGCACTGTGGGAGCTATGCTACCCTTGATAAAGTAGCACGAAATAGTTGACACCGGGCACGGTGGACGTCAACTCACTGACAAAGCGTTGCATCGTGCTCCAATTATACCGGTGGGTAGAGTTTTAGGTACAGCTCTTATTTATTTCTTATGTGTAAAAGCTTGCAGTTAAGACGTCTTTTAAATGTAAACGAGATTATGCCTTATTTAATGCGGTGCCAAATAAATTATCATAACTTGCGTCTGGGAATGGCTTAGATGGTTTCAGCATAGCCAATGCACTTGCTTACTTTGTCAACCATGTGGCACATGGTGTGTAAGGAAAGGAGGAAGGGTGCTTGTATGCAAAATGTGCTTTTGCTTTAGCCTTCTTATTTTCTTTCCGTGTGGTGTCTTGAAGTAGACAGGGTTTCAAGCCCAATAAACAATTTACTTTTGTCCCCAGTTCGTGTTGCGGATTGTCGATATATAAGACCTTGCTCTTGACGTTGCATGAGTTGTGAGGGCAAACTGCGTTAAAACAAGCTGAAATCAAGACGTTTGACAAATAATTTTCTGCGTGCAGTGCCGTAAGAAGCAGTTCTACGTGGACCGCGCCAGCCAGCTTCAACAGGCCTTGGCCAACGTGCAAGTTGCGAGCGAGCGCAGGCTTCTGATGGAGAAGCGCTTCCGCAGCCAGCTGGAGAGAGACGTCGAAAACCTCACCGCTCAAAAGGTAAGAACCCGAGAGTTCATTTTTTGTCAGATTCAGAGGGTGTTTTCCTCAATTCATGTTATGCTAAAAATTCTTAATTTATTATAGTTTATTTTTGTTAGATTCTCAATTCGCTAAAATTCACATTTCAGTTTTGCGGTGCTTCCTTTTCGTTTCTAAAAATAAAAATTAATATTACCCGGGGTGTAAAATTTGTATTAGATACAGAAAAACGCGCTTGTGTCAAATAACATTTCCTTTGTTAGATTTGGCATTGGCGCCTTTGCCATTGGCAATACTAGCCTCTCCCACGACAAAACTTGCAAACAAGTGTTGCTTCGATGAAAGTTAATACATTAAAATTACCAAACTCCTGGCAGTACAGTGGAATCTCGTTGATACGTTTTTCACGGGAACCGAAAAATAAAACGTATTACCCGAAAATCGTATTATCCAAATTGAGCTCAAAAATGTAAAAAATATGCATACCCGGTGAGAAACTTGTTTTTATTCCGCAGCCTTGAAATAGTCGGTCACTTTTGCTTGGGTTTTTTTCTTTTCAATATCGATAAACAAGTTCTTTTGAAAGTTAAAAAAGAGATCCGCAGTTTGGTCGGCCAGCTCGGCGTTTGTGACGAAAGCCCGAAGAGTGTCCAACGCTTCGAGCGCGTCGCCTACAGTTACCGCACAACGATCCCCGCAGTCGTCTCCGAGCCGTTGTGTGTCGACGTCTTCGTCGTCGTCGTCATCTTCAATGGTCGCGCTGGTGGCCTCCGCAATGATATCTTGAAGGGTACGCAGCTCGCATGTCGCCAGGTGGTCATCCGCCGACACGAACTCCTCTGGAGAAACGTCCACGTTCAGGTGATCCCAGTCCGGAATCTGAAGCCCACCGTCGTCTTCCTCGATGCTAAGCGCATCGTCCCGTGCACCGAAAAATCCACATTTCTTGAAGCAGTTTGCGATAACTTCCGACTTCACACGATCCCAGGACATCGCCAAAAAGTGAATGGCGTCAAGGAGATCAATCTTCAAGTTGGTGTCATTTCGATCGATCTTGGCAAGAAGGCGCCTCACCAGCAAGCTTCGAAAATGATGCTTCACGTTTTTGATAATGCCCGCGTCCAGGGGCTGCAAATGGCTGGTGGTATTTGGTGGCAAAAAAATTACCTTGACGTTTCGGAGCCAGCCGACGTCAACCGGGTGTGCGGCACAGTTGTCGACAAACAAAAGAATGTTTCTGTTTTTGGTACGCATCTTAGAGTCGAGAGCAGTGAGAAACTCGGAAAAAAAAGCGCCGGTCATCCATGCCTTCTTATTTGCCTTGTAGGTGACCGGGAGGAACGGGTTACGCGCGAAACAGCGTGGCTTCCAGAACTTCCCAATTACGGTTGGTTTAAGTTTTTCGCTTCCGTCTGCATTGCAACAGAGGAGGACTGTCACTCTTTCCTTGCTTTTTTTTCCTCCTTGGCATGTCTCACCCTTCATACTAAGACTTTTTTCGGGCTGGAGGTTGATGAAGAGACCCGCTTCGTCCGCATTGAACACATCTTGTGGTCGATACTGGGATATCAGCGCTGGCAAAGTTGACGTCCAGTCCGAGATAACTGTTGCGTCGGCGTTCTTCCCCTCGCCAGAAACTGTCTTGTAGGTCAAGCCATGTCGTGTCTTAAAACGGTGCAGCAGGCCACCCGATGCTTGAAAGCCTTCGATACCCGTGGAGAGAGCGATCTCATCGGCCTTCTCGCGTAGAACTTTACCGTCGATGTTCACACCTGCTGCTCGTACTTCTTTAAACCAAGCCAGGAGGATCTCTTCCATCTGTGCATGCTGCGCACCTCTCGTTTGTTTGACGCTGGCGCCGAAGACTTGCAGCTTGTTGCGGATTTCTTCCCGCTTGCCGACGATAGTGTTAAGAGTCGAAACCGGCAAGCCTAGTTCGCGTGCCAGGTCTACGCGCTTCTTCTTCGGGTCTTGTTCAACCTTGCAGATAATGTCCATTTTTTCTTTTAGGGACAGCGGCTTGCGTTTTCTTGACATTGTCACGATGGCACGACACCACGAGAGCCGTAATAGGGAGCACCGCAGAAGAAGCACCAGAAAACAAACAGGCCAGCAAGGCGGCGAGGCGCTGAACAAACAAAGCGAGCCAAAGCGCACTCGGAAAAACGGAAGAAGATGCGCGAAGAAAATTGCGCAAGAGGCGCCTAGGGGCGCCCAACACTGCCAACGCTACCTACCGGGCGCAACGCACACCCAGCCATGTGAAACCAGAGTGCGCTACTTTCCGCTTGATGCTTGATGGCGAACAGCAACGCTCGACTGGGCGGCCATGTTGGAACACCCTAGCGTTAACTGTGGCTCTCTTGCCGTGGCCGCGCAACGGGCAGTTCGTGGCTCATTAGAATGCGACTCGAGCTTGTGATTCCAGTATGCTGGAATGTAAAGGCATATATATTTTTTTAAATGCCCGTGAGAACCCGCTTTCGGAGTCGTATTATCCGATTGCAAGCAAAAATATGGTCGTATTGTCCGTATCAAAATGCATTGCTCCTATGGAATGTTGGCCGGGAAAGAAAAAAAAAACGTATTATACCGAAAAACGTATTATGCCGAATCGTATCAACGAGATTCCACTGTAGTAGTCGCTGGGATGGCAGTAGTAGTCGCTGGGAGACTCATTTTCACCCCATCCCATTCTATCTCCCTATCCCGTGCAACGGGGGAGTGATAAAGGGCATGTCGTAGAAGTTTTAACTGTAGCGACCGGAACAATGACTTCTGTCGTGACCCAGAGGTACAATGACCTGTCATCCGGAACAAACCTCGACGAGATGAACGGAAAGATCCCTGTTATAAGCGATCCGAGATTTGAAAAGAAACCTGGGACAGCATTTTCTAGGGCCCACTGACTCCACTCTGCCCAAACTAGAATACCGTCTTCTTTCTTTTTACTCTTCCGCCCGAGCGTTGCTTTTTGGAGTATATCTGTAGGTGCCGAAAACGCAGAACTTTGGTTGCAACGATGTAAACGTTGCAATTTTCGTTGACTGTGCGCTTCTTTTGTTTTTCAGAATGAGGGCAAGTTGTCGGGCAGTGGCAGGAAGGATTCTGGGGACGTCGAGTACCTCAAAAGGTTGCTGCGAGAGTATGAGGAGAAGATCATCGCCCTTGAGAACGAAGTTGCAAAGGTGATTGTCGAGAAGTCTGTGAAGGGGGTGGACAAAGAATTTGCTAGTTTGTTTATTAGCACTAATGTGCTTGACAGGAAGAGAAATGTGAAAAGCATGTAAGAACTCTCCCTTTGGCATGCTTTATCTTTGAAGCCTAGGTCAACTATTCTAGCTTGCTCACTGCTGCTGCTGCTTTGAAGACACCATTACTACTAGTATATATTTAGACGCCACCCCTGTAGCTTTATTTATATATGATGCAATTGGGGTCGTAACGTCTTCATCTAGTTTTCCTCGGTGGGTGATGTGAGCTAGTAATTTATGGCACGTTTCGTTAAAGTGATGACTGTATGATGGTTGTGGGAAGTGTGCTGTTATTAACCGTAAAATTTTCTTTCCCCAGTGGGAGCAGAAGTATCTGGAAGAAAGCACTATGCGGCAGATTGCTGTGGATGCTGCCTCCGTGCCCAAGTGAGTTTTTTTTGCGCTCTCACTGTGTCTGAACACAACTTAGTCGGTAGTGCTAGGCCGAGGAAGGACTGCGATGGATCATAGACCTTTCTGGCTACATCTGAATGGGCATACTATACTAGTAATTACTTTAGAGAACGTTAGAGAATATTTTGCAGTCTTTGAGCGAAGCATCTTGTGAGTCGGCTATGCTGCTAAACAAGCGCCACATTATTGGGTCAAGTGTTTCTGTAATCGGCGATAACTACCTGTGGGTGTTTATACCATTCTTCATTAAATCTCTTGACCAAACCCAATAAACACAATAACTTTTTTTTTTTATGTTGGGTTTTCACAAGCACTTGACTGCGTGCTTACGAACTCGTCAAACCCTTATCTTAAATTGCTGCACAGAGTTCTCCAAATCTAATGTTCCTTCGCACCACCCGATCAAATTTCCGAGCTGAAAGAACAACAAAAAGATGGTATTGCTTTGGGAAACTCCTAGTTTAGCAAGTTTCCTCATGTTGCCTCTTCTCACGCCCTTCCTCTCCGCCTCCTTTTCAGAGATGCAAAGATTGCCGCCCTGGAGCAGACCTCTCAGGAGAGTGAGAAGCTGATTGCTCAAGTGCGGTCGGAGAAGCTGAAGCAGATGGATGACCTGTACGCCGCCCAGCGGAAGTGCGCCGAGCAGGAGGGAAAGTGAGTGGCTGTTACAATCGTCTCTTCTGGTCGTACAGCGTCGCGTCTCATTTTGAGACATGTCTGGAAGACCAAACTGTTGAGCATATTGTGATGAGCACCGAGCGAATTCAGATTTGTCAGGGAGGCTTTCCCTGGGCACATCACCGGAAAACCTCGCAATCCTGGAGAAGTGTAGGGAATTCAGCCAAGTAGTTAGAGCAGGATGCATGTTGTAATGCGTGTGTGCGGAAGATTTGCACATAACTCCTCGTCCTACTAAGACCGCTGTCAATTGATCAACGCTAGTAAAATCAGTGAAAAGAGGTGAAGGAATGCCTCAGAAGTGTGTAGTCGTTTGAAACTGCACAAAGGTTGTCGTACCCATAACATGACTAACGAAACCTGCTATACTCTGTTCACCCAAAAGTTCACAATGTGGTGCAGGCTATGTGCTCTCTGGACCAGTCGTACATTTATCTTCCATCGCACGAGCACGCTCCTGCCCATACCCACATGCAAAATGCGGGTCGGGTCACGAAAGGGAGGGCGCGTCAAGCGCGTAGCTCCCACAACACTGTTAGCTTAGGCGCAAATATAGAGTATATAGTCTGCTTTTCCCAAGAGCGTGATAGAGCCAGTCATTAGTCATTTTAGACGTGCGAGCTCTGTTCGAATATCATATCCAAGCAAATGTGGCATAGGGTGCACACCCTGTTTGCATCTATGAGGAGGGGCAACAACTAAGCCTCGGCGAAATGACATCGAGTGAATTTGGCGCAAGATGCGTCCTGGGCGTCGCGGCACGAGTGTGTCTTCCGCAGCTTAACTCCTCTTTTTGTTTTCCACGTCTGCAGGCTAAAGGATCTGGAGTCCCGGCTGGCAGAGAAGGACGCCATGATCCGGGTGCTGCAGCAGCATTCCCAAGAGAAAGACGCCGTGCTCCAGAACGCCGTTCTTGGGCGACCCCGGCACGCAAGAGCGGCCTCCTCCGTCACCCTCGGCTCTTCGGCAGGGTCGGGCGGCGGCAGTACTCCCGCGCACCGCAGAACGGGCAGCAAAGATGAGATCGGTGAGCTCATGGGCTCCTGGTTTTGGGTGTAACGTGCCGTCACCATACCTCGGCAAACCTCACTCATGAGGGCCCTCACTCACCCTCATTTTCACAGGTGAGGTGAGGGTGAGTGAGTTTCTGAATCAAGAAAATTCATGAGTGTGAGGGTGAGTGAGGACTGCGAGTCCATAAGGGGGTATGAGGGCCGTGAGGGTGAGTGAAGGGCTGAAGGTGAGTGTGACTGTGAGGATGAGGGTGAATGAGGGGCTGAGGGTGAGTCTGGCTGTGAGGGCAAGGGTGAGTGAGGGCGACCTAAAATGTCGACCCCTGGCCGTCACATCCCGAGTGTGAGCTGGCAAGATTGAATGCATCGCTCCTAGCTAGTATTTCTGTACTCCATTTAACCTTACGATTTCCTTTCGTGTATTTGACCCTTAAATGCCTTTAAACGTAAGGGGGGCGAAATTTAACGATAAAATGGTACAGTATAAAATGTACACTACATTGCTTTTCTAACACGTGCAAATACAATGTTCAATGGCGTGGAGAGTGGCCGTGACAGATCGAAAAGTATCCACTTCTGGGATGCGAACAATGTGCTCGGGTAGATCGTTCCAGTGAAAGATGGCCAATTGTGATCAAGAAAACTTTAATCGATTGGTCCTAGGTGTAACCAGTTGAATTTTGAGTGGGTGATCTGTGCTAGGGGAGATACGAAAAGCCGATGGACGGTGCGCATCCTTTTTTTTTGACAGACTGCAGAGAACCTAATGAGCCATCGGAGCTAATCGAGTGCTAGGAGAGCGTCACATCAGCTTCGGGAAAGGGTGCAGAGATTCATGGGGCCCATAGTCACGTGATACGCTCACACGTCTGGATTGGCTGGGATGGCTCGTAGCGTTTGCTGCGGCCCGTTGTAATGTGAAACGGAGTATAGTAAGCGCAGCGCTGATGACACGAGTTAATGTTTAGTACATGGCTGCTCCACTTCAATTTGTAAAGTTGAAATAACTGAACATTTTATGATTTGTATTGTGTTCGTGAAACATTTTAAATCACAGTGCTTCGCTTTCAGTGCATTTTCACGAGTTACAAGTATGGGCTCTTGATTGGAAAAATATACCCGTGATCTGTCATCCTGCCGTCTGGCACTTTAGAAGGAAACCGCAAATCCTAAAAGAGGGCAATTTTTCTATCTGCAAACGTGTGTATACTGATTCACGATGTAGTTGGTATTGTATTCCTCTCCTTTGCTGTTGGTTTGCAGTCTTACCCGAATGCTTGCTTCCAGGTTCTTCTAGTCTGTCTGGCGTTGTGACGAGCGAAACAACGGCGGGGGGTGGCATGAGCTCCGTGGCTTCTCAGTCCCCGTGCACCGACTCCAAGAAGAGCATCGACGAACAACTCAAGGAATTTGGGTCCCGGCTTTCTAACAAGGTGCGTACTTCGTCGTGCCGAGTGCACGGGTCATCAAATTGTTTTCATTGCCCTTGGTACGACTGTTCATTTGCTCGTGTACAAGATTTAGAAGGTTTTCAAAGAAAAGGAAATGGGGACGTAGCTGTCCGTGGATCTGGTCACAGGTGTTTCACTGAATGCTTTTCGAATGTTGCCTATATATGCCGAGACTTAATTTGGCACGTCCCGGACATTTTATTATTTTTTTGGATGAGGAGTTGCTTCAGTTGTCAGAGCTAGCCAGCCTGTATTCACTTTTCGTGAAAAGAAGGAGCCTACTGAAAAATGCCTTGGCTTTTATCCTCTGTTTCAGTTTTTCTTTTAAGGCGACGGGAGAAACTAAAAATGTGTAACGCAGATGTCGAAGGAAACCGAGGTAAATGCTCGCTCGATCAGCATGGCATGGTTGTCGCCCCTTTTGGCTTTTGTGGACCAGGAATGCCAAATCGATGTCGGCCGCTTGTCTCGACACATGCTCTTTCCGCTTTTTTGGGAGCGAGAAGACGGCCTTGCAGGGCCGTCTATTTTGTTTGTGTTCGTATGTGAACTGTTGGCTTCCATGTTGTTGGGCATGCGACTTTTCGGTTGTTGAATGGATCCTAAGCCACAACCTGGCCAAAACCCTGCAGCCCACGAATAACCTACATGTAGTCACTGACAAGATGAGAACGGCATTTGTTCCGCTTTCAGAGCCAGCTTACTGGTACGTGTGCTGTAGACCAGGCATTCAAAAGACACAGCTTGTCGTTCTCACTCTATCGGTGGCTATAGCTCAGAACACAGTCGGTGTTTGAGCATCTTGATGTGTTCTGTTGGCATGCTGTGTCGTGCAGTGTGGCTATAGTTTCAGTAAGAAGTATTAGGTTGCTGTGCACTTTCTCGAGTTGGTAACTACTAACTACGGTTGGAATCTTGTAGTGCGCGTGCATGTATGTTGCAAATATGTGTTCGGTCTTAGGTGTTCTTGTGTGTTCCTTCTGCATGTGTTCCCAGCAAAAACATAAAGCTCGTGGGTGATGACTTCAGATAAGTTAGCAAGGGAGCGGTTCCTAGGACTTCCTACCAGCCAAACAAGTGCCATACTCTATATTCAGAGAAAGTGCAGATGGCTGAAGTAGTTTGCAGCCACCATTGAATAACAATGGAACATAGCTGGACATAACAAGGTAGTGACGCATTGGCATAGCCAGGAATTTTTTTTTGGGGGGGGGGGGGGGGAGTTGACTGGTTGAGGTGGCTGGGATGTCCATGACTTGGGGTGCAGGAATGGGGGTAGGAAACTGAAGCCCCCCCCCCCCCCCCCCCGTGGCTGTGCCGCTGTAACAGTGCCCATTTTGTTAGTGCGCACTGCTTATCAAATAGATTGAAAAAGTGTATTTGATAAGCAAAGCGGGGGTTTCAAGCAACATGTGCTCCGAGCTGTCCGGTATTTGTGCTTAAACTGCGCCGTCGAGTATCGTCCGTGTTAAATATGCCAAACCTAAAACTGTTAGTGGGACCTTGCACACACGTTCGAGTGCACCCGCACCAATTGGAGTCCTCCGGTTTTCCTGACCGATCGTCCTGTCTGTTGTTCTCCCCGCAGGAATCGATAATGGAGGTCTTGCGGCTAGAAAAAGAGCAGCACTCGACTTGCTTTTGGAGGGTCTGACCCCACCTCCGCACGCCCTGGTCCCGCGCTTTTTCGTTCGTGGGCAAGTTGCTCATGTGCCAACGCCTGCTCCTCTTTCACCCTCTACATCGACTGCAGCGACCACTGCGACCAGCAATGACGCAGCACTGGCAAAACGTCGGGTGCTGGCTCGGTCTACAGTCAGTCATTGTTTTTACCCACTCTACGTAGTTTCATCTTGCTCTAAACCTTTTTTTCTTGTCCCCCCCCCCCCCCCCCCCCCCCCCCCGTCTTTTGGGAGACCTCTTTGTTTAAATTCACCCCCTTCTGTTTTTGTTGTGTGCTTTTTTTTTTTTTTTTTTTGCTTTGTTAGGTCTTGTCTCCTCTTTTTATTTATTTACTACTCGCTTTTTGAGTTACCCTAATTCATACTGATAAAACACTTTTTTTTTTTTTTATAAGGCAGTCTTTGGTGAAAGCAGTTTTCTGTTTTGCACACCTAATGCTTGCCTTCCCTCCAGCTTGTTGGTTTCTGATAATTTCTGGTTGCTTTTACGGATGCCATTGCACCAACTGAACTGCTGCCCTCCTGTTTTCTTTTTTACCTGCTAAGCTTTATATAATTTTTGCAGTGACGACGTCTCGCAATGCATTGGAGAGAAAAGGAAATGGCTAGTCAATTTCTCCGTGCCTCGCAGAGTTCAAAGTTTTTCTTTTGTCTTCTTTCGAGAGCAAAATCGGCTTCTTCCAGACGAAGGGCTTGGCTCTCCCCGACTGTATCGTTGTTATATAAGTTGTGTTTCTTAGTATGCTTCTGCCTTCTTTTTGTTAATGAAAAGGTGACAGTGTGGTTGCCTTTCTAGTATAAAAGATTGTGTTTGAGGTCATACTCCGCAATGGGCCGAGGCGTTTTACTGCAAATATTATTTGCCTGGGTTCACGAAAGGGCAGTGCAAGCGTGCACACTTACTCTGCAAGCTTCTCTGTGAACTTCCAAGATATGGCAAAATGTCTTCCATTCTTTCCTTTCTTCAGTACTGCTCCCTTGGTGGATGCACAAAAAAAATGCTCTGGCTACGCTTGCATTTCTTAAGGCAAGCTGGAAGCACCTGGAACGAAAGAATCTCATCCTATCCCCTTCAGGCTACGCGAGCCTTGGTTCTCTCACCTTGACGAAGTTGGACACCTAGTGCTGCGAAGCAGTCTCCACAGCATGTCCTCCGGAATAATGTATCTACATTATATAGGTATTACATCGCTTACACATATGGCCCTTGAACTTTGCTGTGAAACCACAAATGTCCAAATATTTTGCAGGATTTGTTTTTTTTTTTCACCTTTGGAACTGACCGAGTGACAAAATTTTTAGAACTCAAAACCATTTACTGCTATTATTTTCATTTAGCTAAATCGCACATTGCCAAGCCCCATGCATCTACCTGTCACACATTGAAAAAAAAAAAAATATATATAAAAAAACTACAGTGCCTTTTTTTTTATTACCTTTCATATCCAACATTTATTGCGAGTTCGCTTTACGTGCATTGTAGTCACCGAGGCCTTTTTATTGTGTCAGTCTTTACACCTACTAACGCTAATGCTTCCTGGTGAGGTCAAGTTTTCGGTCGGTTAATCTGGTGCGACGAGTTCTTGGAACTGCTTGGAGTGAGGGTGCCGAATGATTCTTGCCTCGGACAAGTTTCATGTGCCCTTCACGCAAAACAGGTGTTGCCTTCTCTCAACAAGTGCATTAGTGTTTTCAGCAGTGCCCATGTCTAGGGTTCATGGTTATGTGTATATATGTTTGCTCGTACAATATGTATACATCGAGTACTGGTGACAGGACGGCGCTTTGCGGGTGCTGGTCGCCGGCAAGGCAAAGTCTCGGAATGAGTTTGAGTGCCGTGGAATGTAAGCTTTATTTCTTCAAGCGAGAACAACCTAATGTTCTGCTCCATATTTTGTTCTGTCTAGCCCTTCTTGTTTGCAATGTGCCTTCACCTGAATGTGTTCACTTCAAGCTGTTGGGCTTATTATATTGTACATTTTCTGCCGTGTTGTCTGGAATTAGAACAAGCTTCTCCTTGTTTATGTAAAGCTTTGTTTTTTTACCGCTATAGCAACAATACCTTCCGATGTCAAAAGACGCGAAGATGGGGTTTCTAGTACATCGTTTTAGTGCAGAGCAGAAGAAAAAAATGTTTTCTAGTCGTGGTGCCATTTTGCAACCTTGAGGTGCTGTTTCAACCTTGGGATGTTTGTTGAAGAGAAAGAATGTAGCCCATTTTTTTTTTTTTCCTAAGACACTTTTTGAATGTGGGTCATCGGTGTTCTTCTCAAGCTCAGCCATCTCCTGTACAGTCAACGAATTTGTGCATTGCTTCATTACTTGTTGTGGACTTGTGTGCCTTTGTACAGCTTCATAAAATGTAATAAAAGTAAGAAAACTCAATCTACCAAGCCTGCATCTGCTAATCGCTGCATACATAGTGACGCTGTCGCAGCATGCATACTCTGCTGATTCTTTCGTTCTGCCGTTCGAGGCAGTAAAATGTTTGTGACACCCATGTTAGCCCGGGGGAGGGAGGTAGGGTTAGGGAAGCTATGCAAATTTTATTATTTATTTATTTCCGAGTTATATGTTGCGATAAAACAAACTTTGACGTGCCGTGTTGTGATTGCTGTGCTGCGCGTGCAACTAGTTGTTAGTCTCGTCACCACAGGGTGAATTGTTCGCGAGTAAAAAAATTTTCGTGATTATTATGAAATTGCAAAAGTGGCAAAATGTTAATTCTTTATGAAAACCAAGTTCTTTACCATATGCTCCGTTCCACGTAACTCTACAGACGAGAAAAGCTATGGCTGCTGCGACCCAATGTGGGCTGTCGGAGCCAACCACGTGTCCTCCCGCCGCGCCTCCCATGGCGTCGTGTTTGAGAAGAAAGCTCGGCTACCTAGAGGCAAAAGTAATTTAGGTAGTCTTGAAAAAGAAAAAAAAAAAAGCTCCATTAATGTAATTATTTGAAACTTATTAAAATCATTGACCTAAATACCCAGAGGAAAGGACGAGAAAACATTTAAAACATTGTAAATTGTAATCTTATCAGATGAATTCAGCACACAAGTTTGGGCAATGGAAAGGTAACGATCTCGAAACAGTCCCACTTACCGAGATCAATCGGTGAGTGGCTTTGAAAAAATCTTGGCACTGACGGATTAATCGGATGATTCTGCTGAAGACAATAGCGTCTGCTGCATACCCGTTTGCGAATGCTTGGAGCAGCACATGCCAGTGTTGAGGCAAAGTCCGTTGAATCCTAATTTCGACTTTTTTTGAGAAGCAGGTTAGGTGGTGTAACTCATCCTGGACTCTCGGATTTCCCCAGCAGATCACTCGTGGAAAAAAGTTGCAGCGAGTGGATGCCATCGGTGCACAACACATTTTAGTGCTTCGGTGGGCATGAAAAAAGCAATCGAGAGAAAATTCCAAAATAAAAAGAGAGAGAGAGGGAGGTAGAGAATGAGATAATGATAAGAAGACAGAGATGGAGAGAAGAAAGTCAACAATATCTACATGCAGTAACTCTGGGCTTGTTGACAGGGGTCCGTCAAAATCTCTGCGAATACAGAGGCTGCCAGTGTCACGCACCAAGACTACTCTCTTCCTGTTTTAGCCAACCATAGTCGGTTCAACTTCAATCGGCTACAGGGCCCACCCATTTTTAAGTTTCCCCTTCGTAAGAGCCAAAAAAAACATTATATATATATATATTTTCTTTTACAGTTTGGTTGGGACACACGTGACAAAAAATCAATTTTACGCGAAAAAGAAAAGCAATAATGACGGTGCGAGATTTATTTTAAATTTTGCGCGCGAAGTCCATGACGTCACGGAATGGTCATACGCTCTTTCCACCTCAACGAGATGGTCATACACACTCTCCACATCAATGTGATCAATGTGATGGCCAAGCCGATCCACCTCTCCTCCACGCGCCTGAAATGCCGAGAGAAAACAAATGGAAAGGAGGTAACTAAAAAAACTTTTTTCTTTTCAGGGGATCTTTTGTTTCAGGGAGAAAAGGAAAGCAACATATACTGTGGTGGAAAAGCGCCGAAAACTATTGTTTTCCTGTTGTCTTTCTGTCTGTCCGTGCATTTTTCGGCGCTTCTCCACCGCAACTGGCTGCTTGAAACGACAACCTGGGTGAAGATTGAGGGGGAAATGGGAAGGGAGCCAGGTCGTTTGACAAACGAAGAACTATTGAAATTACAGAGAAGATGCAAGCGAGCTGGTGAGCTTTCAACATTTGTTTGTTTGTTTGTTTCTTTATTTAACTCGAGAGAGTTAAATAAAGTGACAAAGTTTTTTAGCCAGGCGTAGAGGGGGCCGGAGATTCCCATCTTTTGTAGCTTGGGTAGGAGCAAGTCGTGGTCGACGCTGTCAAAGGCTTTCCTGAAATCAAGTTGAACGATTTCGCATGGGATTCGGCCGTCAAGACTGGCACTCAATGTATGGGTGACAGTCGCAAGGGCCGACTCGCAGCTCCTGCCTGGGCGGAAACCGTACTGATGGGAGCTGAGGAGGTTCGAGTGCTCTAGGTGGGCCAGGAGGTGTTTATTAATTACTCTTTCCATTGTCCGGCATACGATGGAGGTTGTAGAGATTGGCCGGTAAGAGCAGATTTCGGACTTGGGGGTGCCATGTCCCTTGTGGAGAGGCTTTACCGAGACGACTTTCCAGGACTCGAGTACGGAGCTGTTGGAGAGAAAATCATTGAAGAGTCGAGTGAGCACAGGGGAGATACGACCAGCACAGGCTTTGAGTAGGGCAGGATGAAGACCATCAGGTCCGGGACGTTGGGAGGGATTGACGCGGGCGAGGGCTTCGTAGGTTTCACTGGGAAGAATGGCTGTGGAGGAAAGGGTGGGTCGTTGTTTGGTTTGAAATGGGGGGAATCTTGGGCTGACCAGGTGGGGGGTCGAATGCTGTAGGGTTGACTAGCGTTGGGGCCAGAGAGAAGTGGTGGGAGAAGAGTTTGACTATATCTTCGGGTTTGGAGTAGGGTATGCAGTTATGAGTGAAGACAGGGGCTTGGGACATTTTGCGTTGGTGGTGAAAGTAGGCCCAGAAGAGTTTGGGCTAGCTGTCTGGTGGCTTTTGCTGCTAGTTGCTGTAGGTACGTATTGTGGGCGACGTAAATTAGGCGCTTGACTTCCTTGCAGGCTTGGCAGGCTTGGCTAAGATGAGTAGGGTTTTGATTTTTCTGCGCTTTGTTGAATAGATGGTTTTTGCATCTTACGAGGGTCACAATCTCCTTTGTCATCCACGGAAGGTTGCCACGCTTCCGATTGACCCTGACGGGAACACATTCGCACTGAATAGCTGACATCATGTCGAGTCAAAGGTCGTAGGCGTCATCAGCCAACTGGTGATCAAACACTATGGACCAAGGAGCGAGATGGATGAGTTGGTAGAGATGAGAGAAATCTGTTCTTGCGAACTGCAGAAAGTTCCTGGCTTGGTGACCTTGCTGAAGAGCTGTGCAGTGGATGTTGGTGAGGAGGGCACGATGATCGGAGCCTGGGAGACTATGGATGATTGTGCAGCAGTGGGATAAGGTGGGGTTGTTGGTGAGGGCGAGGTCAAGGAAAGTTGTGGTCCCGTTCCGAGAAATATAGGACGGAGAATCGCAAAGTTGGGTGAGGCCGGCTATTTCCAGTATGTCTAATAGCACGTCGTCAAGTGGATTGGATGGTATGGGAGTTTCGGGGTCGGACCAGTTGATATGACTATTGAAGTTGCCGAAGAGGAACAGTGCAGACAATCTGCTGGGATCGATGCGTTATAGGCTGTCGTGGAGGAGGGCATAGGAGTGTTCGCGGACCAAGGGCGGGCAGTATGCACACGCCAGAAGTTTTTTGCGTCTGCAAAAGACCTTTAGAAAGATGGCCTCCAGACCAGGCTGGGTGAGGTAGTCGAGACGACGACAGGGCAGGTGTTTTGGTATGGCGAGAAGGGCGCCACCCCCGGTTGAGGGACAATCTTGCCGGAACAGGGAGAACTGTGCGAGATCGATTAGCTGCCCATCAAAGACGGAGGCGTCTAGCCATGTCTCACATACAGCAAATATTGTGTCGGGAAAGGATGACGTCAGTGCTTTGAAGTCGGGCAGCTTGTTCTTAAGGGAGCGATTGTTTGAAAACCATACAGAAATCTCCCCCGACGCACGGGGAGCACCGTTGACCGTGAAGCTGTAAGGGGATCGACGGGCGCCGCCATCGCTGCCGCTCGTCGGAGGGGAATCGGAACACTGCTTGGGGGGGCTGGTGATGGTAATGGGGGAGGCAGGTGCTCCGTGTTGCTTCTGTGGAAACAGGATGTCGGCCAGAGGCGGGAGCTGGCACGCTGCACAGGACCACTCAGATGGGACGAGGAAAGTCGCCTATACGTAGGAAGATAGACGCCTTCGCATTTGTGGTGGAACCACAATTCACAACCGTCACATTGTAGAGCGGCAACGTTGTCGAACACGGACTGGGAACAGCGCGGACAGGTAGGGCGTGGGCCAGGATTTGAAGGCACATCCCCAGCGATGAGCAGTAGAAGCTGAAAGCGACACCTTTGGACAAGGCCACCGGGAAAAACGGTAATAGTTTTTCAACATTGTAAAACCCAATACGTAGGTTACTCAGCTGAACATTTGAGACCTGTGTCTGTGTTGTCCCCTTTTTTCTTCTCCTTTCATCCTACGTCTCGGGTTTACAATGTTGAAGAGCTATTATTGTTTTTCCCGGTGGCCTTGTCCAAAGGTCTCGCTTTCAGCTGATATTGCATCAAGAGCTGCTATCTTCGTCGCAGGATAGGCTGACAAGCTCCTAACTATAAGCAGACGCGTCTTAAAAATCCCGGGTTTATTTTACCTTTAAAAAGCACATGCCAGTTCGTAAAGATGCAGTGTAAACAATATCTTGCCCGTGGGACCAATCGTTTGGGGAGGAGGAGTAAAGTTGTAATAGATTCAATTCCCTTCTACACCCGCTTTCAGTGCTGCAGAACAAAATTCTACAAATGAATGCTTACTATAAAAAAAAAAAAAGAAGTAATTTACAGCTTAAAAAGGTAGGGCGAGGGAAAGGAAGCAAAGAGAACGCCGAGGAGAGGAGGTTTCCCCCTCTTTAACGTTCCGTCTGCTACCGCCTCCCTGGCCTTCCTTTTCCTCGCCCTACCTTCTTGAGTTACAACGCAGACCGAATTTCGGAAAGGTTACACCCCGTACGGCAGAAATGCCTTTTTTTATTTTAGAAAAAAAAAAAAAGAAAGAAAGGCTCGGAGGAATGATTTTGTAAAAATAATTTTATGACCGAAATTGTTTAACCCGGAACAAGGTTCGTCCATTCCAGACTGTAAAAGAGCAGCTTAGATCAACCAGTTCAACTACCTCCATCCAGCTTCAATAGTTTTTGCAACACACGCGTTCGCAAAGCACGCACTTATCGCTTCTCGGAGTTCGAGTGGTGATGTCCGACTTTTTCGATGGCGTCAAGTTCGCGCTGTCTACGAACATCGAACATGACCTTGTCGAACTTAGCTATCCGCTTCTGCGTACTCGAGGGTGTAGTCCTCCGGCGCGGCGTGATTTTGGGACTGCACTTTGGTTCTATCCCTTCGTCGTCGAAGTCGAACTCGTTGGGTTCGACGGTCTTGGTCTCGTCCTCTTCAATGGCGCGGCGGTCCGCGCCGCCAGACTCGCTCGAATGAACGCTCGGCGATCTGCGACCAGGACAGTGCCATTCGAGGCTCAGCGCACCCTTTTTCGACAGGGCGGTGTACAGTTCGATTATTTCCTCGGGTTTGGGCTCCCACCAAGACTTGCCGCTCGCGTCTGTCGTTCGAGAAGGGTACCGTTCGTCGTCGCTGCAGCTCACTCGCCAGTCGTCTTCGCCGGCCATTATTGCGGAAGAGATGCTAGGAGAGAGGCTGGATCTCACAACTCGTCACATTATTAGTTAACTTTGAACTTGTCCAAAATAAGCAGCGAAGAACTAGGACCAGAGAGACACTTGGATTCAAACCTTCAAACTCGTTTGCGAACCACAGGACCACAGCACTACCCGCCCTACCAGCTCCACCAGCGACCAAAAGCGCCACGGCGCCACAGCGTTCAATCACGCAGGATAAACAACAAAAAAGTTATGGCGACGTCATCAATACCAACACTGAGTAACCCCTACTTACGCTGTTCTCTCCTTAATACAGTACAAGTTTGACGTCACTCGGTCATTTAGCTACAACAAGAGTTAATTTTGAAGCGGCGGACACAGTCTTTATTGTACTGACGGCACTTTTCGGATTGTCGTATCCAAATATCTTTACTGAAATGGTTACAAGTGTTTTAAATAATTAAATGTGCCAATATATTATATTTTTATGTGAGATTTATAAACGTAAAAAAAGTTTGTGTAAATAACATGTGATGTTGAAGAACGGCTGATTCAGTTTCGCTAGTCTCACCGCTGATGCGGGATGTGACGGATGGCCGATGACGGCGGAGAGGAAGCCTTGGATCCCCGAGTTCAGGTAAATACATTGCTTAAGCTTCTTAAATTACAAATATTTTCGGATAATGAATTGAATGCAAGCACTTATGCAAAATAAAACGAAAAAAAAAAATCGCGAGGCGGTAACCGCGCGTTCAAGGTTTGGCGTGGCCGCTTAGCAACCCGTGTTTGTAAACAGTGGCATTCCTTCGGTATTCTTACAACCGATCCTCCAATTAGACGTTTCTAAACGATTATTCGTTAGCACTGTGGCCCGTTTGAAGCGTCGTAGCGGCGTTTGTAACTCTTTCATGCGGTCTGCGGCAAAGTTGGCGTCGCTTAGCGCTGTAAATTGGGCGATTGTCATTCAATTAATATAACCTTCGTGACCTTTTCGTGGTAGCTGTGGGCAGTTTTGTCGCACCGAATAGGGCGATATCCCGCTTCGTCGTGGGATCCGTCGACCGTGAACGGTAGATGTGCACTTCCTCGCTTTCTGTGCACACCTATTCGACCGATTGTTTGTTCGGAAACGGCAGAATTCGGCCAGCGAAACGAGGAAGTATATACCAACGCGGGGACCCGTTGGGATGTAGTTCACGTAGCGGCCCTTCGAATCACCCGAAAAGGTTTTTGAACCGTTCCTGGTTCGGAATTTCGACGTCAGCTAGAAATAGCCCTCCCCACCGCAGTTATCATTCTGCAATGAGGGAAAGGAGAAGTACGTGCTGCATTGTACACACGATCGCGTCCACGCGAACACACCAACACACCTAGCTCGGCCTTGCGTAATCCAATGACGAAAACATCGCTCGCAAGTCGCGCGTCGTGACGCTCCTTTATTTTTTACTTTTCAGTTTTTTTAGGAATGTGCAAACGATATTTTTTTTCTTTCTTTTTGTTTGTTTTGGTTGGCAGTTGGTGTACGAAAGCGTTGAGCTGTAGCTCTACTTCATTTTTGCGGGCGACAAACTAGCACGGGCTTTGAAACTCTTGGAAGTAAAAAGAAGCCTCGCCGTATTACTAAGGTTACGAAATACGTGTTTAAAACACGTACCGTTCTTACGTGTTGTTTCTAAGAACCAAGCCCCCGCTGCGCAGATGATTGACGAACACGGAGGTGCTGTCGTGCTGCGACCTTCAATTTAAAGAAGCCAGAAAGTAGTAGAGTTGATTTTCTTATTTCTTGCAGAAATTTTTTGCCGCTTGGTATAATGATAACATTAGTGTGTGTGCGTGTGTTGCATGTAATTGTCATTGTGCTAGTTCCCCATTTCATGTTGAATATAGAAAAGCCTGTGAGACATCTATTAATCTGTCAAATCAAATTTGTCACATCGGTATACAGTCTTATCCTGGTCAATACATTGAGGATATGTGGTAATCTTTATAATCTATCACTCTGCTGGACTCTTTTGAGACATACACTTTTTTGCAAAATCTTTTCTATGGTGCCCACAGCGTAAAACTGTACATTACATTGTTGAAAAGACCACCTCATCTTACCACTTCCACCAGGTGCAGACGTGTAAAAACAGCTGTCTTTTAAACCTTAAACCACTCACACATATTGAAATTGGAATTATCTTCCCCATAACATTGTGAAAATTTCTTTTACTTCTAACCCTGTTGTCTGAAATAATTACTCTTTGAATTGTGGAATATGAGTTAATTATACTGGTAGTTGCAATTTTCCTCTTCGTTTCAAGTTTCAACTTTCTGTTCTTACTGTTTTACCTGCCTGTACTATGCATGGGTTGCATGTGACGTCCTTCAAAGAGCTCTCCAATGACCACCAGAGACGAGGGCAAGAAGGAGCTCCCTTCTTATCAGGATCCTCTTTTGTGCCCCCCGCATTTAAAACAGACGTCGCTATTCTCCTCCCAGAAGATTATAGAAGATTAACCCGTCACTCAAAATTCCTCTAAAAGCAGCTTTCCTCTCCTCCTCTTACATGGTGGTCAAAAGTATTCAACGTGATATCAGTGCAACCCATGTATTGTCCTCCCTTAGTTTATTACCAAATGCTATCTTGTGTTTTGCTTATAATGTCAATAATGTTTTTTAATTTCTTCCCTGTGTGTAATGTCCGATGTTGGCCCTTGAGGTTAGATAATAGACCCTTTTCGAATTTTCGAAATAGTGCATAGATTATATGTGGCTCCATTAGTTGGTCATTCACTGTGAACATGCATGGACACGAGCGCTTCGTCAGCATTCGTAATGTACTCGTATTGAAACAGATTCCACATGAGTGCTGCGTAAGCATGTGCTTGACGCAAACTCAGAACCAATCACGGGCTTCATGCTGGAAGCGATGAGACCAACTAATGGCGGCTGCGCATAATGTATGCATAATTTCGCAATATCGGAAAGGGTCTATTTTAGCACAAGAAATGTTACTTCATTTTTTTTGGCTTCAATTATTTGCATGTTACTAAATCGGGCCAAAATTGTGATTCTGTCTGGGAACAATTTTTTTAATTAAATTTGTTGATACTTATTAGAACGATTGGGTTTCATAATTTTTCTTTCACTTATTAGGAGACAAATAAAATATTTATGCAAAAATTAATGCTCATAATGTTTACTAGTGAAGAAAAATAAGTAAAAGGTAAGCAAAGCTTGCATTTGTGAGTCTATTAAAGGTGAAGGCTTGGAGAAGGAAAGCAAGATTACTTTTGAAAGCACATCATAGCTGTTATCATGGTTACACTTAATTACATTGGTGCAATTATATTTCCATAATTTCTTAGATTACGACGGAGCCACATACAGGTGTAGGAGAAAATCGATCTACTCACGCTGATATCTCTGGAGTGGGAGCCGCTTCTGGAACGGTTTCAAGTGTTGCGCTCTGGGCTCGCAAGCAAACAAAGCATCGACTGGCCGCTTCCACGTAGCTCTTTGCTCTTTGCTCGTTGGAAAGTCTGCCAGTGAGGATTGCTGGAAGGCTTCTGAAATGGAAACACTGCCCTATTTTAAAGTCACTACTTTCTTTCAGATTCAGCTAGAGAAGCTCAATACCTGCACTGATGAAATCAACCGGCTAGAGGTCGAATTAGACGTGAGTGAATGGTTCCTTGTCCGTTTCTGCTCTTTTTTAATAAGGAGCGGCATAATTGTTTATTTATATTGCCACACCTCTTGCTAGGCAGAATTCTATCTGCCTAATGTGAGGCTAACTAAACGAGGTGGTCAAGTCGTAAATGTTTAGCATGGTCAAACCTGAAGCTAAGAGAAAGTTTTTTTTTTTAATGTTGTCCTTAATTTTGTTTACTTCCAGTTTAAGGGAGGTAGGGGGTTCATTTTAAAATAATTAAAAATAGCAAAAATGCCATTTCAAGGAGCTTACAAGGACAATATTGAGAACATAAATTATTGTGCACGAACTGTGAGGATGACTCGAAATTACCTAAAAAGAAAAATATGTTCGAATGTTACCACAGATGCGTAGCTATACTCTTTCACGGTGTGGAAAATAATATTTTGCTAATAAATTTCCATGAGAAATTGAAGCTGCAGAAAATTGCAACGGAGAGGAAACATCTAGGCCCACAATTGTCAACATTATTGTGATGGCGTGTGACGTCACAACTTGAATTCTCGTATTTTTCAAAGCCCTATTATACTGATATGGCTCCGTTTTGTGCTTATGTTTTGCCTGTAACTTTATGCAACTCGGTCATTAACTACAACTCTAATTGTTTTCCTCAGCATGATAGAGCTTTTGTAGTTTCAAAACCTTGCCGTGAAAGCTGCAAGGAGAAACAGTTCTCATTGGCCAGCATCACTGTTTCTGGCCAGGCCAAATAATGGACAGATCATGACAGAGTTATTTTTTTTATCCGAGAGCATTTGGTGTTGCAGGCGTCACTATAGAGCTTGTCATGCTGACGTTCCACATTTTCACTGACATCTTCTCAGGATGCCAACTCCGCCTTCCGTGCCACGCTTAGCGAATCTAGTCACAAGCTGCGTCTGCTGTCCAAGAAGCTCGGGAAGGCCATCGAAGCAGCCCGGCCATATTATGAAGCCAAAGACTATGCCCAAAAGGTGAGGTCTGGGGCTGCCCTCATGAGCGTAGTCCAGCAAAACGAAGGAAAACAAAAAATATGAAGCAACATGCTCTGAAATCTCTTTTTAAACAGAGTGCACTCTAGAAAAGATTGTGGAATTATCTTGTTTGATAAACTAATTAGAGTTTGGGAGTTGCATTCTGTTTATCTTAGTCCAGGTCACTCCTCGTGGGTAGTGATACAATTCTGCTGTGCTATTGTGAAACGAAACCCAGACTATTTCCCAACCTTCTGCCACGTGAGGGTCACCTTTGTTGGCACAGGTTTGACTAGGATGTGATCACCTAGAAACTTGTACGATTATTCAAGTCAGAAGGTGCATATGTATTAAAGGAGAGTCCGAGTTAGGGAGGTTTCATCTGTATGTGTGCAGTCATGCCTTATTAGCATAAACTCCTCTGCCCCCCCCCCCCCCCCCCCCACACACACACACACAAAAAAAAAAAAAAAAAAAGAAACATTGTTTAAAATGGAAGTTGTTTATAAGAACGAGACATAATTACATGTTTTTATGCAGTTTGTCCTCGAAAATCTCCTCTATTTGGCAGGTATCCATATTAACTAGGTATACATTGCCGCAGGCATGGCAGGGTTGGCAACACATATGGTCGCCACGTGAAGGAACAGGGTTCAAACTCCTTTTGACCCGGTTCTTTCTTTTATTAATTTGTACGCTTCTGGGGAGTTCCAGCTAATTCTTGGTTATCATTATGTGCTTTGGTTTGGAACAGTTTTGAACGTACCATGGGTATAAAAGAAGCGATGATGCGCTGCTTTGGGACAATCGCCCTTCCGTTGCTGATGCAAGATGCTAGCACTTTTCTTTTTAGGTTTGTAGGCTCGAGTTTGCCTCAAAATTTTTATTTTAAGTTTTACGCTCGTCCGCTCATTTTCGTGACAATGTTAACGAGACCGACTGCATCATCTGTGGGGCTTGCATCTGGTACTGATGATGTAACGGTAACGTTCACTGGCACACGCACATGCAGTCCGTGGGCGTGCAGATGTGCGCTTTTGGTTTACCGCAATCGTCTCCGCGCAGGCTCAGCTGGAGTGCCAAAGGGCGGCGGTGCAGTACCAGCGGGCGTCGGAGGTGCACCAGGCAGCCAAGGAGACCATCTCGCTGGCCGAGCAACGCTTCCTCAGCAACCAGACCCAATGGGAGTTCGACAACGCCTGGCAGGAGATGCTCAACCACGCCACCATGAAGGTGAGGCTTCTCCCCTCTCCGACCGTTGCGTGCATCTTCCCCGCCGTGAAGTTGCGCATTTCCACGAGGAGGACAGGGTTTGTAAGCATTGTGCTCTCCGCAACATTGTTTTGGCTCGGGCGAGACCGCGGCGCTTTGTCGCACTCGCGCAGCTTTGCGTCTGGCAGTTTTTTGTGGCGTTCTTAAGGTTACAGATTGATTGGCGATCGCTTGTTCACAATGCACTACTTTTGTTTTCAGTTTGGAGCCTGTCACAGTGTTATAGTGTGCATCAGCATCGTCGTTTTGCGTGCGGGGCTAGCTGGCTATAGTCGAGCAACAGGCCTTTTGTTTGTTCCGGGTCATATTTCGGACCATGTGTAAAGGGCATTTCTTAGAGTGTTTTCAAGAACAAGGTGTACTGCATAGAGAAGAAGACTGACAGAGCAGAAAGTAACCGGCTCTTGGAGTAGTGCACTTACCACAGTGAAATTAGAGGTACACAGGGTTAGCTTTCCTTCTAAACAAATGAATCTAAAAAGAGGGAGAGCGAGAGAAAAAATAAATGATACGGAGAACAGCGATCCGCTGGCATCGCAAGTTGCTCGGACGTAATACGGAAGGGGTCGTTGTGCCAGAGTTTCTCGGGCTTGGAGGGCCAGGAAAAGGAGGCAAGAGGGGCACTATGCACGCAGGTGATGGAGGCCGAAGCGATGCGATTGGAGAGCGAGCGGGAACACCGGAAACGGGCAGCCTCATTCACGGAGGCGGAGCACAGGGTCCACTCCCTCGAGCGGAGACTCAAGAAAGACATTGCAAAGTCCAGGTGAGCACTGCATCCCACTCGGTATGAACGACCCATTAGATTGAGGTAGATTTTTGGCAGAGGTTAGCTTGTTTTTGTGGGGTATTGTAATTGACGTCATATTTTTCTGTGTAACAAGGCTTGCACGGCGTTCACAGTGCTGCAACATCGCACTGTTGCGTGAACGCGTTTGTACACGCTCCCACGCGAAGAAAACACCACCGAAGTCGGTGCACTCACGCAAGTAGCTTTAATGGTGTTGGAGCACTGTGGAGTCTAGCTGACCTCAGTAATGTTGTACAGAAAAGTTGACTCAAAGTGTAGTCGGTAATAAAAGTACAGAAATATAGTGAGTTTTTTTCTTTTTACAGGTTGTATTTTGAAAAGAAGGCCACTTTCCAGCAAAAGCTGCAGGTAATGTGTTTCTGCTGCAATACTATCTTTGTGTAAGCACTAGCATTTGAGGAAATGAGCCCCTCAAATTTTATAGGAAGGTGGAACAAATTTAGAGCGAACCGGCGGGCCCGTTTTGTTGTTCAGCTCTTAGAGCAGGGATACAGGTTTCTACAACTCAGTTCCAAAATTAGATTCTTGGACGTCTTTGCTCTGTTCCTCTCTGCAGTCCAAGTATGTATACAGTCGACTTCCGTTAATTCGACTTTGACGGGACATGCGAAATTTGGTCGCATTAAAAGATGCGTGCGAAATTCTGAATATCGAGTTCTTTAGACCGGGTGAGCTAATATTTTTATAATGAGCCGCCGCACCCCGCCGGATGGCAATGGCAGCGGCCGTGTATGTCCTTCGTATGTTCGGTGTGCCGGCACTGCTGCCAACTGCGCCGCCACCGCCACACCACTGCGGAGCAGCGCTTGCTGCTCCACAGCTGTGTTGCAATGGTTGTTTTGTGTTGAGACCTGGCTGTGTCCCATGTCTCAACATGTGCTCTCTTTTTCTCTATCTTCGCAATTTGGTGCACTCTGCAGAATTTAAAAACGGGATTTTTTGCCTTAGTACGTGGCCGATTGTGCTTGTGATTTGTCCACCGCCGGTTCTCTCTAGGTCGAGTTAACCAATATTTTATATGTCAAGATCGAAATAACAGGTTTCATTTTTTCTATAGAAATGTATGGGCTTTTGTTAGGACCTTTGAACAGGGTCGAGTTACCTAAACGATAAGTCGAATTAACCGAGGTCGAAATACTAGTACGATTTGACTGTACAGAGAAAAGTGCTAGTTCATGGGCTTCTGTGCTTGGGATGTCATAGCTTTCTGTTGCAGCTATTATGGAGGATACATAGTATGGTATGCAACCAGATAAACTTTCCCATTTCACATAGGTGTTCTGTTACATTGCAGGCAATTTTCAAATTCTATGTGTTCCATCCTCGTGTTTTCTTATTAACCTAGCTACAAAGCGGCCAGAACAAATAAAAAGAAAAATTTACATCAGTGGATTTTTATGGAATATTGAACTGAACTAAATGCCCCATGGATAAACTTGTATCAATCGTGTGAAAAAGCAAAGAAATATGCAAATGTCATTATTTGTAAGTTAACCTATACCGCTTTGAAATCATACTTCCATTGTAATGTTCCTGAAGATCATTGAATACAAAAGAGAATAGTCAGCTGATATGGGCCGTTTTTGGAAAGATCCTGTCTAGAGACAAGCCCAACATTCTAATGGCAGCATCGGTCAACTTCTCTGCACCAGTAAAGGAGAATGTCTACGAAAGCGTAGAGCTGGTAGCTGTAAATTTATTCCTTTAGATTGGCTCATGTGCAGGGTGTCGGCAAAAAACATTTACAGGTTTTTTTCGCTACAAAAGTAAACTGCATTGCCGAATGCTCGTTCTCCGTCCAAAATGTAGTGCTAGCAGTCCGGACCAGATGCCAAAGTTTCAGAAGTAACCTTTATCCATTCAAATGTCATAAGGGATTTTCTGAAATTTTCAATGGAAAAATGGCGGCCGAACGAATGGAGCTGAATGGTACCCGCTAGCGAAAACAGCCGAAAATGGGCTCCATTTTCCCACTAATATTTTTAAGAAAATCAATTATAAACTTTGATTCAGGTAACGGTTCGTTCTGATACCTGGGCATCTGGATTGCACTGCTAGCACTACATTGGGGCAGAGAATGAACGCTCGCCAACGCGTAGTTTATTTTTGCTGTAAAAAAAAAAAAAACGCTGCATTTTTTTTTTGCGGGACACGTTATATTTTGTTTTTGGTTCGCAAAGTTTAGGGTGTGCGACTTTACTGTGTCAGCGCCACCATTTTCGTGCTCAGTGCAGAGCGGACAGAACTGGCAATCCTTACAGTTAGGGAATGCGACTTCCTGAGCCTCAGATGCCGTGTCGGGAACTCGGGCGCTGCCGTCTCGTTCTGTCGTGTACTGTTTTAACATTTGTGGAGAACTCAAAACCGCATTCTGCAATTTCGAATGAAGGTTCAGGTGACGGGCATCCATGTTTTTGGCCGCCAAGATGGCCGGAGCGTCGCTGCTCCGACGCCTCGTTTAGTAGGTCTAGGCTGGTCGGTTGACTGACCCGCTGGTCGATCGCCCGTCACACGTGATCTACAGGAGATCAAGGGTCAAGTGGAGACGTTGCGCAAGGCGGTGATCCAGTCTAAGCAGTCCTACACGGACGCCCTGCACAGCCTGGAGCAGATCTCGGCAGAAATCCACGAGAAGCGCAAGGTGCGGCTCCCCCCGAGAGAGCCGGGGGTCGGCGCCGAGCTGCTGCGTCCAGCCGTCTCGGGCTCGGACATGGTCTCCGCCTCTCCAGGTGAGCCCGTTTGCAGCCGTAGAGTTAACACAATAATCTATGGGGAAAGGTCCCGTGCATTGCGGCCACTTTGGAATGATGGGCATAGACGTGGACGTCCAGGTCGCTGGCGACTCTTTAATGTACACTAAGATGCAGAGATGCATCACTTGCAAGGTCTGTACTTGCTGCTTTTGTAGCTTTATTTTGTACTTACCGAGTGGAAAACACTGGTGTGGCAAGTTGTATAGAAATAAATGAGAATTGACGAGCGCTCTAACAACTCGACGTCGTGGCGGCAAAATGAACGCGCTCAACCTGTCGTCTGCTCTTTTTTTCCGCTCTTCCGTCGCCCTCTTTCTCCTCCTTTCTCTTGGTACCCCGTCCTTATTCCCCTGGTTTCGCTGGACTTCCGCTGAGCTCGGTACATTAAAAATTCTCTCTCTTTTTTCCTTTCTTTCTCTCCTTTTTGCTGTTTAGTCTAAGGACCAACTGACAGAAGTTGAACTGATGTAAGAAGGTATATTCTAGTCCTCGAATAGTCATGTACGAATTAAACTAGGGTGCATGGAATGCGTCTTCGACTGGCGTGTTTGACGCGCCATCTGGCCCGTACACCAAAAGTGGTCCCGAAGTGGTAACAGACGATTTCGAGGAAGCCGGCGCGTCGTGCCGTCGGATGTCGCGATCCCGGCGGTTGGGTGTAGAAGTTCTGGCAAAAAAAGAACGAGCAAGCGTCGCCATCGTCGCGGCATTCCAACTGCCGAAGCTTCGGCGGACTGTCAAGCCGGAGTGCAATCCGCGGCTGAACAGGCGTTGGCCACATTTACCACCTCCACTGCCGCCGGCGTCGCGACCGGAGACGACGCAACACTTCCATAATGTCGTCGGGCACAAGTGGAGGGACCGCTTTCTAGGATGCGGTAAACATCCCGATTGGAGACGCGTTTCAGGCGCCGTAAATCAAATAAAATTTGAGACCCGTGCTCTACCTATTAGCTCGTTCTTGTTTATGGCTCAATCCACCATTTTCGGAACAAACTCTGTGCCGAAAATATCTGGTAGTAAACAGGCGTGCACAAATACCGTAACATCCCGAGAGATTCTCCAGCACCCAAAGGTAACCCACCCCATTTTTTCGGCTCGGTCTGCCATTTTAGTTTGAAACACCGAAAGATAGCTTGCTCCTAGTAATCGTAGTGTTTGGATCAATGATGACCTCGACGTAAATGCGTCTAGTCAGCCATGGCGGGATTTAAGTGAACATTGCCGACTGGGAAGTACAGTCGTCTTTGCTTCATTGCCCTTCACCGCGACAGCAAGTTTGGCAGGGACACATAATCTAAAAATAGCATTTTTTCAACTTTTCTCGATTGCATGCCTAAAGTTTGCCCTCTTCTTATTTTCATCCAATTTGCTCTCAGTTTTGAGTGGGCTTTCTCTTGGGATATAACGGTAGTGGTTTGAATCGGATAGCGCTGCACCACCTGTAACCTTTGCAGTACAGAGGGAAGCCACAGTGTAGTATCGGCCGCCTTTAAGGTGTCGAAGCTATGGATGACACGGCGCCGTTCGATTCAAAGCGATATTTGTACACTTTTAGTAGTAAGTGCAGGAGTCGGTGAGAAGATCTGCACTGCCAGGCGACAGGCAGGAGAGCTATATTTGGCGACAGATTAAGAATGCAGTAAGTGCTCCGCTTGGTCGCCTTCCGTCATGCTTTAGTTGCACATGCCCACAAGATACCAAAGTGTTATCCAAGGTGGCAAGCTTGCATTGGAAGTGGAGTGTCTAGCGCATTCTTAACCTTTCACCAACCAAATACTTGGGCGCGCCTTTTTTTTTTTTGGTAGTGAAGCCAAAGTTATAGGTACCCTTGTGCTCGCGCACCTTGAGTGGCGATCAAAGCTGTGCTCGTGTGGTCTTCGCTTCTCCTGAAATGCTTGAAAAAAGTTGTCCCCAAGTATAAATGCCATTGGCTGGCCTCACCGAGCTGCAGTGACCTAGATGGAGCTGCCTTAAAGTCGCTTTTGTGCCTGGTGTGGATTACTTACTGCCCTGAATTAAAAAAAAAAGGCTTCCCTCTCTTTTTGACCAGCGCAGAGAGGGAAAGAGAAATACAGTAGGCTCGCAATAATTCAAACTCGGATATTTTATACTTCTGATTAATTCAAACAAATTTCAAAATTTTGGTTGTCCCGCTAATTTTTTTATGTATTTATAGGCTGCTTAATTCAAACAACATTTTTGTGCACTTCATACTTTTTGTTCTCGCAGCCCCGTTGTGCACGCTTTTTACCAAGCACCGCTGCACTGCGGAGAAGCAACACCCGAGGAGCGCACCTCCGTGGGTGTTGCTTCTTTGCAGTGCACCGGTGCTCGGTGAGAGGCATGCTCAGTGGGGCTGATGGTTCGCAATAGACAACTTTTTTGCTGGATGAACAAATCTAATTTTGTTTTGAGTTATCATGTGCTGTCTAAACAGTCCATGGTAAGACAATATTTGTAAAGGATGAACAAACTTCTCGTACATTTTGCCAACGCTTTACCTGTGGCATACCTGCTTATGGTTAGTAGGCCTGTGAAGAGGAAATCATCAAATATCTGCTTTGAATGTGCAGCCACCTATACGACATACCATAATTTTACATTGCATCATATTTAGGTGAATTTTTGATAATAGACCTTATTCATTATTAGCACCATCTCTCGGCAGCCGCGCAAACTATCGAGCTTCCACGCTACTGTTAGGGCTTCTGCACCGTCCCTGCTCTGCTTGCATTGCGTTCTCCGTGTCAGTTCGTACAATGTTGTTTTTCTGGGATGTGGAAGAGGCGTTGGGTACTTCAACAATAATTATGTTAGCGAGCCTGGTTCAGAAAGTTGCGTTGGCTCCATTCAGAATGCACGAACTGACACCAAGAATCTAGTCACCGAAAAAACTGTTTGCCACTCACAACGTGACAAGCAATGCAAGAAGTAGCCTCGCAAAAGAATCACAAGCCGCAGTTGTCCCGGTGTCTTTATTGCTGCTGTTGTTTTGGTTGCTGTGGACGCAGCCAGCACAAATGTGGGAAGCAGCCTTAACCTGCCAATATTACAGTAATGGTTGTAAATATAGTTTGTATATCGAGAGAATTCGACATAGACCATAGTAGAAAAAGGTGGTGCGGGCCTTGCCATTTCACCACTTGTATAATCCAAGTGCAATGCTAAAATTATTCCAAGATTCAGATTGAAAGAAAAATCAAACGCAATCCGTATATTTACTTTAGTTGTATTCTTATTTCTTCGTTGATTGCACAGCAAGACACGGCAGTAGTGCTGCATCACTTTCCCGTAGCAGCGCTCTGCCCGTCACTTCAAACGTGGGCCGCCATGATTGAGGCTACGGATGAAGGTTGGCGCAACGTCCGACAGATGGCGCGCAAATCTGAATAAGGTCGATTCAATCTTCTCATAATTCAAACGAAATTCGCGGCTTCCTGGAGTTTTAATTAATCGGTCTACTGTGTGACCAAACACTTGAAGGCCGAAGCACCATTTTGACATGTTACAGCAATTACTATATTTCCTGGTCTTTAAATGGCAGACCCCCCTTTAAACCCCCCCCCCACACACACACACATTTTTTTTTTGCCAGGCGATTTATTATTGTGTTAGAAGACTATCCAATCAATATTTTGCTACAGCGTCACATACATTTTTAACAAAGTCAAAATATGCAACTGCTCGAAATCGAAACCGAAACTGGACTGGGGAGGAAGAAGAAATAGAGAGGAGAAAGATACCAAAAGTCACGTGACTGTGCGACTTTCCGCCAAATTTAGCTAATTGGTGCATAGGTCATGTGATGTTAATTTTTGTGTTAAACTTAGCGGGGAACCTGAATTAGCTCGTAGGTCCCGTGACGTCCGGTCACATGACATCAAATTTTGCACCAAATTTAGCGGGGAAGTCGAATTGGTGCATAGGCCACGTGACGTCAATTTTCCTGCTAAATTTAGCAGGGAAACTGAATCGGTGCATAGGTCCCGTGATGTCAATTTTTCTGCTAAATTTAGCGGCGAACCTAAATTTGTCCGTAGTTCCCATGACATCAGGTCACATGAGAGCAATTTTTCTGCCAAACTTAGCGGGGAAGCTGAATTGGCACTTAGGTCACGTGACGTCAATTTTTCCGCTAAATTTAGCGGGGAAACTGTTCCGTTCATGCTCACGCCGTCGCGAAAGCGGGGCACAAAGCACTAACAGCTGCCGCTGTAAAAAAAAAAAAAAAAAAAAAGGTGGCACGCTTTGGGAGACGTGGTAATTTGAAAGTCACGGATTCCCGTTTGTCATACTCCAGCGGAACTCCACTCGCGGGCGCTGGAGGCCTCGGTCCACCTTCTGCGGCACACGACGGCCTCCCGCCTCCTCGACCTGCCGGGGGACGGCCTCTCCAAGGCAGAGTCCGAGTCTTATGGCTCCCTGGGCTCCTCCCCGTCCAACGGCAGCACCCTCTCGCTCCCCACCGACCTGTCCAAGACGCCCCTGGCGGACATGCTCGGCGGGATGACCCTCGACGACTCGCAGTTCACACCCAGGCGGTCCCCAGCCGACGTCGCTCGGGGGGTCACTCGCGTCTGCGGCCCCGACGAGTTTGAGGACGTTGACCTCAGCACGGAGTAGCCGGAAAGTTGGCGGAGCGACTAATTCGACGGCCAGGCAAGTTTCTGCCCGTTGCTACTTTTGATGAATATGAGACATAGTAGGTACAAGGTGTCCCCCCAGAAAATTTACAGGTTTTTTTTTTCCGCCACAGAAATGAACCGTGCATTGCCGAACACTCGTTCTCCCCCCAACTGTGGTGCTAGCAGTTCAAACCAGATGCCAAGGCTCCAGATCTAACCATTGTCTTGTTCAAACTCTGTAAGTGATCTTCTGGAATGTTCAATGGGAAAATGGCAGCCGAAGGACCCCTCAAATACGTGGAGCTGAATTGCGCTAGTTACCAGCACGGGCCCAATTTGCCCACTGAAATTTTCAGAAAATCACTTTTAACTTTTGAATGAGATGACGGTTAGTTTTGAAACTTTGCAGGGTACGCACAGGTCCTTGAAACCCTTGAATTTAGAGATAGGGTTTTCAAGGCCCTTGAAAACCCTGGATTTTTTCGCTAGACCATAAAAACCCTTGAATTTGAAAATTTGGCTTACAGGGCCCTTGAAAGCCCTGGATATTTTGGCTAGACCTTGAAAATCCGTGAAAAGCTATTTATAATAGCAAATGTGGGTATATATTGTACATTTTTGTTATGCTGATCGATTGATTTTTGTTTTGGTCCATGTTATCTCAATTCGTTTAGATCTAGCCGATGTTCATTGGCTGGTTAACCACATTGGAGCAGATCTGAATCCGAACCCAATCTGATCCGGGAATGCTCTGCGCACTGTTTCCACCGTTGGCCTCGTGTTTTGTCGTCGGTCATAGGAAAATGCCCGGCAAAAGCAGATTTCAAAGTGTGTGGCTCTGCAGTGATGAATATAAGGACTGGGTGGCACCAGATACGACAAATCAGCATCGTGCAAGATGCAAGCCGTACGGAAAAACCTTCGATGTCGCCGCCGTGGGCGAGTTGGTGTTGAAGAGCCTTACAAAGAGTGCGAAACATGCCGGCATCATGAAGATCGCAGCCAAGAGCTCGGTGCAAAATTACCTGGCTCCGGGCATGAGTGAACAAGCCACTGTCTCGCCTCTACCGCATTTGCCAAACGTAAACGCTGCTTGCAAGACGCACGAGTTGGCGACAAACGCCAAAGTGTTGTGGACTCTGAAGGTCGTCACATCCCTGTGTTGCTACCGGTCATCGTCAAAAGCGGGCAAGTTATTCCAACAGATGCTCCCAGACAGTAAGGTGGCAAAAGCGTTTTCTTACGGAGAAAAGAAATGAGCCTATGTGACGTGCCATGGACTGAGACCTTTCTTTCTAACGGCCTTGCAGCAGGAAATTGAACAGTGTGAGCACTACATGGTGCTTTTTGACAAGTCTTCGAACGACTGTTTGCATCACAAACAAATGGATGTGCATGTAACGTGGGGACTCGTCTCACAAGGTGACAACAAGGTGCTACAACTCAGTGTTTATGGGGCATTCCACGGGCGGGGGCATGCAAGGAAAGCTGTTGAGTGCACTCAAACTTTTGCCTCTTGAGAAGATTCTCGAGTTATCGATGGATGCTCCCAATGTTAACGCTCTTTAAGAACTTCCAAGTGCACCTGCAACAAGCGTACCAAGTTCTGTGTGTGGACATTGGCACCTGTGGCCTCCACACAATGCACAATGCCTACAGGGCAGGTGTTACAGCAAGTAGGTGGGGACTAGATTGCTTACTGTCTGGTCTGAGTGCACTATTTGAGAGCTCTTCAGCAAGGACGGAAGATTTTACAACAGTTACTGGGCAGAAAACCTCTCCCCTAAACTTTACTTTGTGCAATAAAAATGATACATGCCGTCTTTGGGCAACAGTGTTTTATTGAAATCTGCTACGTGCGGCATCCAGTTAGGTCCTTGGAAATACTCCCACAAGGCCTTGAAATTCCTTGAACATCTTTCTTTGAATCCGTACGAACCCTGCTTTGGCATCTGGTTCAGACCGCGTGCGCTACATTTGGGGGGGAGAATGGGCGTTCGGCAACGCATGGTTTATTTTTGTGGTAAAGAAATTGGCTGCCGAATCCACTATTGTTGGTTGTCTATGAATTGCGATAGCATTCGTCTAGGACAACCTCAAGTACGACGTCTAAGAAGACGTCTAGGACAACCTCAAGTACGACGTCTAAGAAGACGTCAAGGACGATGTCCGAGGCGACCTCTAGGGCGATCTCAAGGACGATGTCTACAACAACCTCTAGGGCGATCCTAAAGGGATTGTCCAGTTAAACCTTGTGTTCGAGAAAACAATTGAATATCATTGTTATTGCCTGGACACGCATCGTCCGTGCAATATCTAAATTTTGTGTGCCCCCCTTGCATGAGTAATTTAATTTTAAACTGCTCCAATCGCATCCGAGCGTAAACAGTGCTTTCATTGGCAACATTGAAGATCTGATGTCACATAATGCAAAGCGAACATTGCCGTATCCTCGTTTGCCTGCGAGTGAATGCCGCAGTGTGCTTCATTTTTGTTGTGCTCAATCTTTTTCGTGGATAGGTGAAATTTTTGTTACGCGAAGGGCAAAATGGATAGTTGACGTGCGTAGGGAGCACTGCGTTCCCATCAAGATCGAGATCCCGCTTATGCAGCAATCATTTCACAGAGGAAGGCTTCAAGCTGAGCTCTGAGCGAACAGAAGGCCCGTAAGTTGAGGTGTAATGCTGTGCCAACGATATTCAACTACCTCCACCCACTCCTCACCCAAATCGGATTAATCGGTTTGATTATATGCTACAAAACCGAAACTAACAGCTAAGCCATCTTGAAACGATGCCAAAAGTTATATTTAGCACGCGTGCTGCCCGACTCTGTTTGTCCTGCTCGTGAAAATGGAGTGTGGCTACAATTCACCAAGCTCGTCCAAGTCAAGTGGCAATCTAGAAATGTTACATGCATCTTGAACTATTCACCGTTTGCCTTCGACCCGCGGGCATTGCCTTCGAGGGAACCTGCAGCCATTTCACCGATCCAGTGGATCTGCCAATATGTGGACCCCGATGCCGCTTTGTGGACCCAGATGCTGTTTCAGAGGCAAAATCTGCATCCTTCTCTTTGCAAGCGCTCCTGGTCTGATCGGTGGCCGTCGCACTTGTGCATGTGCAAAACGACGTACCGTATTTGCACGAATATAACGCGACCACGAATATAACGCGAGGGCAGTTTTTGATGCCCCCAAAAAGAAAAAAAATATTATTACTATTATAACGCGAACCGATGCCGCGTCAATTTCTCGCACTCGGGGGCATAGCAGAAGTGAAAAGTCAATGGAAATAGAAGAAATATCAGTTTATGTTTTGACTGCACTCATCCTCACTACTCAGGTCCTTCCGTTTACAATCCACTTGGCGACTACGCAGGTATGCAGCGGCACGGCACCTGCTTGTCTGGTAGTTCTTTTTTCTTCCCTGCGAGCTCCTCGGCAGCCCACAATCCAAACAAGGCGCGGAAGCAGAAGCACAAACACCAGACCACTCTGCAGCAGAAACTAAACAATGCGCAGGCAAAGAAAAGACAGCTGAACCCGATACACGATCACACTTCTTGTTCTGGTCCTTCTTCGTAAACAAATGCCTCGTGTTGCACGATTGCATAAACGCGGTCGGTGGTCTTGGCTTGGCTTGTGTTGACTTGACTTGGCCCGGCTTGGCTTGGCTCGAATTGGCCGGTGCCCGCAATCCCGCATGGCGCGCGCGCGCGTGCGGCGTGCCCGCGTTGTAAAAACACAAAAGCGATAAAAATGCTTTTTATGTTTTCTATTCGCCCCTTCACGTGGCCCAATGGCTACAAAATGCCCCTCCACACCCCCACTTCTTTTTCCATTGGATATTTTGCATTGAGCCGGAGAGATGACTTTCTCCTCTGGCTTTCTCCAGACTCGCGCACCTCGTGGCTGAACTCGATTCCGAATATAACGCGAGGTGCGTTTTGGAGCACGTAATTTCGAAAAAAAACTCGCGTTATATTCGTGCAAATACGGTACGTTTCCTCGAAGCCAACGGCTGTTTTCGAGTAATATCCTGCTAAAAGGCGCAACTTTTTTGCACATGCTTGGGAACTGCATTACAAGAAAGATATTTCAAAAGGGTACAGCCTAGGCTATATAATTCGAAACAAAATACAACACATCCATCAACCGACGCTTGTTATCCCAACCATTCAACGATCCTTTGCGTTATGTGATGCCACGCAGCAGCTATGGATGTCAGCCATTGACACTGGCAAAATTCAGGGTGCAGTTTTGTACATATGCTCATGAAAGGTTTCATTAATATTGGCACTTCATATATCAAAATAAAAATTATGTTTGGCCATATGAAAGCTTTTTCGATGTAACGAGCACAAAAACTTAAGTACTTTCTGTTTTGACTGGACAATCCTTTTAAGCACAACCTCAAGGATGATGTCGAGGATGACCTCTAGGACGATCTCAGGGACACCCTTTAGGATGATGTCCTAGAGGACGACGTCAAAGGCAACATCTAGGACGACCTCTAGGAAGATGTCAAGGTCATCAGGCCCTTCAAAGAGATTGCAAATGTGAAGGAGTGTGAGAATGTGAGCTGAAATGGTCTACTGCGCATACTGCACATTAGGAGGCCAGAGAGTCCGAGACATGCCCCCCCCCCCTCCCCTCCTGATTTCTAAAGCTAAAGAATGCTATTGCACTAAAAATCTTGTAAATGTTTTGGGAGGACACCCTGTACATGGTGTGACGCTTTTAGCATAAACAGGAGACTGTCGGTTTTTACTAGTGTTCCTAAAAGTCATAACTTCAAGCAGTGACTTAAAGGAGCTGTGCAATGATTGTAATGTTGAAAGAATTTGCATCTTCTACTTTTGACATTGTTTATCTTGTCACAAAGGACAGAACACACATCTCCTTCCTTCGAAATGTTGAGATTCTGCCACGTAATCGCGAGGCAAAAATTAGAATATTTCTCGACCTTTAGTTGCGAGTGGCGGCCATGAAAACCATGCGGCATGACGTCAATCGGGGACTTGTAAGAATATAGCAAGTTGTGCGATTACCTGCTCGATAAAAGGTCATTTTTCTGTAAATCTTGTCGTTCCAACATAAATATAAATGCGTCAAAAACCTGTTATCATTGACAAAAACTTTTATTGTGCGGAGTTTTAGTGGGGCCATCTATCCGAGGTCAACAGAACCGTCGGCTCTATCTGCTATTGCGAACAGCCGCCAGAGGCCAGAGGGGGACAGGGGCAGAGCTGGACGGAGATGGCTGAACCCGGACGAGACTTTCCTCCTTTCGCCATGTTGATCGCACTGCACAAGCACATGCTCATGTGGTCGCAAGCGGGCGAGTTCTCGCTGCTCACTGATGGCTCTAGAGAGCTTCACCAAAAACCCGTGTCCCTCATTCACGTCACAGTGCACGTGACTTGGAAGATGGTGAAGGAGATGAGAGGGGCTGAAAACCTCTCTTTGTCAATTTTTAAAATAAAAACTAGGACATGCAGGCAAAAGCAGTTTTTTGTTCTTTACTTCAGAAACCTCGAGACACCAACTCCCAAATTATTTAAGCAAAGCACTGAAATTGTTGCACAGCTCCTTTAAGCGGTGAAGCTTGATGTCGGTCAGTACTCCACAACCGAGTAAAATGCGGAAAATTGCCGATGTTTTGTTTGCACGAATAGTGTCGGGCAATGTACGTCCACTACTGCTGGAAGACCATTTTGTAACAGTGGGATAGTCAAGTGTGCGAGGTAGGCCTCATGAAAAAAGGTTTGAATTCTAGCCAGGGCCAAATCGGATATTGTGACAGGGAGCCGAGCAGGTTAGTAACTGCCCCGCTCTTATTGCTCCCGTTCTTTGTTTTAGTTCAAGGTGGGTCACGGCAAAGTCTGCACGCGTGAGCCCGTAGCCTTGTGGTGAATTCCACTGGTAGATCCAAATCGCCTTCCGAAATCCGCAAAGGAGAGAACCCCGCTCTGTGGGCATGCTCCAAATCGACAAGTGGAAGACTCACTCGCATTTTTGGAGCGACCCGCCAAAGACAATCTGTCGTTCGAAATGGCTGCGGCTCGAAGTTGACAAGCCAATTGAACTCTCGGACGACTGATAACTACTGTTGCAACAGAGTTTCAAAGTCGCACTGCACACACACACATTGCTACAAGAAATACTAGGAGGTTTCTCTTTTGTGAATGCTTGTTACATACCGAAGTAAAGTATATCTTGACATTTTTTTATATACTTTCCTTGCAGTGTCCTCGGCAGTGCCCGTGCAGGATCGCAGAGCTTCCATGAAGTGGCTGGTTAGCTCGGAGAGTGAATCCAGCCACGGCGCTCATTGTCTGCGACTGTCGAAATCATCTCAACTTTTAGAGAATGTTGCAATGGTGCAGTTGTCAGAATCTCAGTTTCTTCAACCCCTTCCGAGGCTCACCTCGTAGGTTGTATACTTTTTCACATGTTCACTCTATGATAGGGGAGCTGTTTGATGTTTCAGGTAAGGCTGGCTGCACCCAGAAATTAGCATTTTACTTTTTCATGCTATACTTACGTCACACATGTTATTATTTCCAGAGCTTCTGAAGCCATAGTTTCACCTATACATATTGCATTAGAACCGCCTCACGGGTCGATAAGGTAGCGTTGAACGCTTTCTGTATTGAAAACAACACTTTGTTCCTTGTGGCATTCCCTTAATTTAACGAGTGGCTCAATCGTTTTAAAGTGAAGGTTTTCATTTGCAATTGAATCTAACTACTGCACTTTTATTCTGAAACATGTTTTTTTTAGCTCCATCATCTGTTAGAAAGAAGAAAAAAAAAACTTAGTTTACTGTCGGGCCATAATGTCACCTTGTTGCTTAGCCTTCTGTTCTAGAATTCCGGGTGCTGCATCACTTTAGTTTCTCTGTACTGCTAGTCTTTCTTCTTTTTTTATTTTGCTCAAATGCTCAAGTCAGTGCCTTGATTCCAAGCATTCTGTAGTCAAGACACTGGCAGTGTATTCCCCTCTATGTATACGCGTTTTCTGTGGGACGATCCTCACTTTGTCGCTTTTCAAACTTTATTTTGTGCAGACGTGGTTTGTTAACGGAACAGCGGCACATTCTGACTGGTTGTGGAGCTGCGAATTGCTTGTTTTTGCGAGGGTAGGTTATCCCAAAGCCAGGCCCGTGCTACACCGGTGCTATACGAGTGGTTCAATTTCTGGTAAACCAGCCGTCTATGAACGCAGCGTAGATGTGAAAGCGCTTTCCTCATTGTGCATTGGGATTCAAAGAATTTAAACTGCCCGTTCTGACCCGAGCTGCACGCAAATCGTTTGGAACGTGGAATGCGTTTTTATTTGAGGTAGCATTGCAGGAACATGTTCTGTAGATAGTATACATAGATGAATGGTTTGTATAGACGCACAAGAAATTTCATCCTCTGCTTGCTCTTTCTGAGCTTCAGAGATTTCATTAAGAGACGAAAGGTGAACTTTCGTGCTTCAAATAACATCGGTGTCACTCATCCGAAAACGCTGTCACTGGTATCAATAACGTATGCACAAACTTTTGCCGCATGGTCATTTGCAATGAATCTTTCGGCTGAAATGGAGGTCGGTGTGGTGGCCGACAGTATGAGAGTGGCAGGGCATCTCTTTCGAATACCTTGCCTCCAGCGCGCTCTCCTTGCCCTCTGTCGTGCATTGGCTGCGCATGCACACTCTTAGCTCACGTTATTAAGGGGAATAAGGGTCTAAATTTTCTTAAAACTTTTTCACGTTTATTCATCTATTATGCTGAAATTTAGTATTTCTCGATGGCAATTTCAAATGTGCGATTGGTTTTCACATCTGCACTAGAATTCTTACTTGCCAATAAATTTGTAATTCTGATTAGGTCATTCATGCGGGCTGTTCGCGTGAAAGTCTTCGTAATGTATCGGAAATTTTTATAGATTTACGTTCGGCAAGACATGCTCTGTGCGTGTTTTTGTTGCTATTCTTGTTGCTTTTAATGTCATGTGATTATTTCAATTAACTAGTCCTTTAAAGATGACAGCTTTCCATTTTGTTGCAGCTTGGTCATAAATAATTTTACCAATATAAATAAATTAGGCTTAGAAAAGCATCACCACATAAAGCTTGTCTCAGTGAATCCAAATCTATAAAAAATTGCCTATGGTGAAGAGTTTCATGCTAATGATGCATAAAGGGGACCTAATTAAGACCACAAATTTATTGATAAGTCAGGATCTAGTGCAGCCGTATGGAGACTAATTGCATATTTAAAAGTACTACAGAGAAATACATCAGTAAATCAAATTTTAGCACAATAGACAAATAAACGACACAAAAAAAGAAGTTAAGGCCCCTTGTCCCCCTCAAAAGCTTGTACTGGAGGCAGGAAAACTGAAGAAACTCCGTGCCATTTTCATTCTGCCAGTGATTTTATACCGATAGAGAGAGTGAACAGTTGTGTTTTGGGGTCTGGCAGCCTAAAAACAATGCTGTCCATTACAGCACAATAGCATTTGGAGCAAGTGGCAAATATGAGCTGGACATTCCAGGTAGCAATTTATCATGCATCGCAAGGCATACAAGTTGTAGCATCAAAATCAAATTGAGACCTTGCTTTTTCGGCATAGCAACACGTCGGTCACAAGACTGCGAAAATGTTTTACCAAAGCTTTTTATTTTCATCTTGGACGTGTTGCATTTGTTTTCCCTACATTTTATATGAGTTTTAGAAGGAAGCTCTAGTTTATCTGGTGGGATCGACTAAAACATTTGTAGAGTGGTTGTTCGGGTTCTCAAATGGTTTTGGTCATCTCTGAAATGTCTAGAGTTCAAATGTGAATCTGTTTTCAATCATACTGGACGTTTTCTGTCAATAGTGTTAGCCTTACACATATTTAGTAACCCAAGTGTAGTGACGCAACATGTTTTGACTCAAAACCACCGTCCATGTAGGTTGCCAAATATATGCTGTGTAATGCATCAAATTTGTAGTAGTTAGCAATAGGAAATATGCATGTCCAACAGCATGATCCCAGCTTAATTGAGATCTTTTAAGCATGCATGAAAATAAAAAGTTCTTCATAAGGTGCAAACAAACACAATGCGACGAACGCTGTGCATGCCAACGCTGTACAAAGTAAAGCAAAACACTGTTTTAGAATAGAGCACAAGTCGAGTTATCTCTAAATGACAAATAAAAATGTGCCTTCAATGAAGTTTTATGTCATAGTGCGACCAAACGACATACAACCCCAATTGGCTGCATGTCTTCTAAACTTTGTACCATTCTATTGTAAGAGCATGATGCTTGTGGTTTCCAAGCATTAATTCTGATGTAGATTGGAGTTAACAGTTTGGCACCAGCAATTTTACCCTGTCACTGTTTAAAGGGATGGTGAACCGAAATTTGGATTTCAGAAAACAATGCAGGAGCTGCAGGCGGGGACGCTACAATCCCTACAACACTACTCATAAGACGATATCTCGAGTGGATGACCGTATTTTTGGAAAAAGTGGTCGAGATCGAACGAGGCCGACGAGGCGCGTGACATGAACATATTTCCTCCTCTCTTCGCTTCGCCCCCAGGTCGGCAAGGCGGAAAAAACGCGAGGCCGTTCTCTCTCCTTCTTGACTCTACAAGACGCCAACATATTTATCAAATGCGCCTCCTTTTTTTTTAAAAAATATGGTCATCCGTTTGAGATACCGCTGTACGAGTAATGTTTTGGTGTTTGTAGCATCCCGTTGCACGCTTTTGCCGCCATGTTTTGTGGAATCCAGATTTCAATTCAGCATCCTTTTAAGTACTGTAGGCTCAAGAAAGAAAAAAAAAAAATTAAAACTGCCTGGATGTATCACATTTGTCGAAAGGTACACCTTTGCCAAAACTAAACTTAATTAGTGTGATTTCATTTCGTTTACTGCTCCCTCAGGGCCCGAAGGCATTACAGAGAGTGTGGACGAACAGATGGGGATCATAACGAAATACAAATAATTAGGCACAATCAACAAGAATATAATTATTAATAGTAGCTTTGAAAAGCTCAAAGTCTGCAATTTAGGGAACTACCCAGATTATGTGGTTCCAATACTAAGACTGTTACCACCTTAATGTCTCTGCAATATATGCCGCAAGACACACTTCAAGTTTGGAGCGATTTTGTCTGCTCAGGCATGCTGGCTCAAAAATTACTCTTATTTTGAGGTCAATCTCATTAACAATGTCAAAAGGGGAGTCCTTTTGTCAGACTCCCATTGAATGGAAGGAGCGCGGAGAGAGATGTGCCCCCTGCATGCGTCTCCTCCATGCGCTGTGAAAAAAAATGATGCCGAAATCGCTGCTGTCGTTATGCCGATTCTCGACGAAATCCGTCGACATTTAGCACAGGGGTTCTGACTCTGCAAAGGATGGAAATTCCAACCTCGAAACGGTTCACATACTGTTGTCTTCGAAGAGCCGGTTTGTTTTCCCGGGTGTCGGCGGTTTGGGATGCAGCCACGACAGCTTCCTTCCCCTCTCGCTCCTGCAGCAATCCACGGAAGCGTGCCAGAAGACACTTTTCCTCTTAAAAGAGGGAAAGTGGACCTAACGAGCGAATGAATGAAGCAAAAGACCACAGCGGGAACTTAGCTGTGGCCTCTCAAAACCAGTCCACTCCAAACCAAACACAGCACTGATTACGCACTAAATGTTTACTAAAAAAAAAAAAAAAGAAAAGAAAACAAAACCCACATCACTTCTGTTTTGTATTTTTCTGATAAACATTTAGTTGATGGTCAGTGCTGCGTCCTGTCAGTTCCTGTTCTTCGTCTGTTGTCTTTTTGTGCTGTTTTTCGTTAAACCAGCTCGGCCCAACTTCTCTTTCTTTTAATCCCAAATTGCATCTTGCGACATTGATATTGCATAAAAATAATAAATAAAATGGTGCAAAAAGAATATGGAAACTTGTGGAAGACACTCAAACACACTGACTCGCCAGACTACACCTTGGTGTAATAGATATTGCAAATTTTTTTTTTTTGGTGGGAGGAGGATTTTAGTTTGTTACACTCTATCCAGGCAGTTTAAAAAAATGTATACATCTTTCGGCGTGCAATGTGCCTTCATACGGGTGGTGCAACGATTTTTGGACTTTGGCCAGTTGACTGTGGGAATTAATGTGTTACCTATTGAACGAAGAACAAAAACAATTTTTTTTCTTGCGCACGCTATTTTTTATTTTTAAGAATGGAACCAATGGAAGGTCAAGGTGCCCCTCAACTCTCGTGCTGTCTTTCGAGTGACATCACAGGGGGACCACCCGGTCACTCGTTGGGTTCTGTCTTCAGAACCTCCAGCCGCTCCCTCCGTGACTCTGCTTTTCGAGGATTAGCATCGGCAAAAGTTGCAGTGAGCGTCTGAGACAAAAGACGGTTTGTTGCAGGACTACTGTGAGCGTAGAAGCAGAGTGGGGCGGGTTGTGGCGACTTCCGCGCATACTCCGGTGATGTGGCACCGCAGTTCCCTTAACCGCCACACGTTGCTGCATATCGGCAAATTAATTGTTTTTCCATTCGTGCTTACGCAGCAGAATAGCAATTTTCGGGGGGAAGCTGTGACATTTTTTTTTCTCGCTTGTGCCTAGATAAACAATATAACAAAAATTACTGTAATACCATTGCACTGCCACTTTAATTAGAGCTCTTGCTTGACCACCAATATGTGCTTTACTAGCACTCCTTGAAGGACTGCAAGGGCAAGGTTACACCTCTAGACCAAACTGACACATGCTTACAAATTTTGTAAAAATTGTAGGCATGCCTTTTATTGTTCTCACATTATGAAAAACAAGGAAGCAACAGAATGCTTTGAAAAAACGGTGAAAGATTTTAATAGTCTAGGTTAGTGCTAAAGTCTACCAAGTTAAGTTTCATTCTGTTGTAATATAGCTGTAACTCAGTTCTGAATATTTGTTTGTTTGATCATGCTATTGAATTGCAGCAGATCAAGTTCATTGATAATCAAAGTAGAGCAATGATCCTTCCCAGGGTAAAGGTACTCTCTGGTAAAAGTCTTATATCCTAAACCATTTTCGAGGCTTGTGGCCTTGGGTGTGGCATAGTGGCTGGCTTAGCTACAAAAAAATACATTGCCACTTTAGTGAGACAATTGCCTAACAAGCAAGGCTTAAAGACAGACTTTTAGCAAAAAAAACTAGGTAATACAGAAAATGGAGTGATCAAAAAGGGGTTGGCAAATTCACAATCCTCAAGGGAGCAAGGGCATTCTATAAAAGAGTTTTAGCAGATAGTTTTTTCGCCCCGATAACAATACCTTCTCTCCCTTCCGGCGGCCGTGAGCATGCCGCCGGAAGGGAGAGACGTATTGTTATCGGGGCGAAAAAATGATCTGCTAAAACTCTCTATTATCTAGGAAACATGTCCTACAGAATGGGAATTGCCTTGACCTTCAAACTCCAAGGCAGGGAACCATTCACCTTCGACTGACACTTCCCCCTGCTGGTGTTGCAAACGGAACCTTCGGGACAGCAATGAATGTGGTCGTCACAACAGACAGCATTCTTCAGGGGACAACAACTCCAGGAACTGTCTGGGGCTTTGCAACAGGTGTAGCCATCGGGACACTTAAACTTCCCATCAGGACAGACAATCTTGGTCGCCCTCCCGGCCACCTCTTTTGCAAGTGTCGCCTTGGTGAAGGGGTCAGACCATCTGGTACAGATACCTCCTTCTCCACACACCAAGTCATGAGGGCAACAATGACGAAGATCTTTGCAGCAAGTAGCATTTGGGAGGGGACAACATCCATATGTACTTTTGGATATTGGACAGCATGTTTCAGTATCATCACACCTCGTTTTGTCATCGCAGAAAATGAAGCCGGGCGTCATGTTGCCTAACAGATGAGCAGGCTTCAGCGAGAAGACCTTAGGCCTAACTTGTGGATTGAGTGTGCATTGGCTTCTGCTCAAGTCGCAGCTTGTTCCGGAGGGACAGCAATGCTGGCCGTCATAGCAGCATGTGGCATTGGGAAGGGGGCAGCAGTTGTACACCCCGAACCCCGACTTGCAACAGGTGAAGTCATCCGGGCAGAGGTATTCGCCCTTGCCGCAGGTTACATAGTTCTCTTTGGTTCTCGTGTTGGCGAAGGCTTGCAGGAGGGGTTGGACGGAGCTTGCAGATGGTTTGCAGGCATCTGTCTCGTTGTCACAGCTGTAACCCTGGGGGCAGCAGTGCTCCTTGTCCGGACAGCAGACGGCATTTGGCAGTGGGCAGCAGGTGTACTTGCCACCCTTCAGCTTGCAACATGTGCTATCTAGAAATAAGTATTACATGTGCAAAATATCTTGTGCAGGCTTCACGTAGCAAAGTGCACTAAAACATCCTACTCCGAAAAGCCTACACACAGAAATGTTTGTAAACCAAGACGTCCACGCAGAAACGACCTACACTGAAATGCCCCGAGGGATTATGAATATTGATTATACACATGATCAGTGGCAGCTTCTGCCTCTAATCAGACTATTCATTATTACACGCTCATAAACTGGTTTTGATAGAGATTTTTTAAAAAGTACTTCGCACACAGCCATACTAGAAAATTCAAAAAGTATACTTTAAGAAAATGAATGTGACGGAAGAGGTAAATCATAACATACCTTTCTGACAGGGCGTACGATCGGGACAAGTTTTGCAAGTTGCTAATCCAAAGAAAACGACGAGTGCACAAAGTCGGGGCAACATCTTGAGTTTCAAAAGCGCAGCAAGCGCAGCGTCACAGGCGTCGAGACGAGTAAACAAGGGCTATCGCGCAGCAATACAGCACCGTCCTCACAAAACGTTGTCTCTGGCCGAATGTCGAGCTATTTTTGTATCTCTAATCTCCTGAGCGAAGCACACGAGATTCCCTTTTTGGCACAGATCACTCGGGGCAACTGACACTGCTCGCGATTTTGACACATAGAAAAATGCCGCTCAAAACACAAAAAGAAACACGTGATTGTTGCTGTTGGTCCATGATGGACACCCGAAAAAGCTTTTAAACTTATTCAAATTGTTTTAAAAACCCAAATTTGTTTTTAGGAAAACGTTAGGCAAAATTAGTGTCAAAAGTTCTCGCTACCTATCTTCTCCGCTTGGCCGCTGCAGCGCACAGCGCGAGAGAGTGAAGCCACCGGACGGCCATCTTGCTCGTCGAAAAATTGCGGTTCTGCTAGCATGTGAGCTTAAAAGCGCTAAAAACAACGGACAAGTGAAAGAAACGTACAACACAGAGCGCTCTGTGTTGTACGTTTCTTTCACTTGTCCGTTGTTTTTAGCGCTTTTAACCTCACATACATGGATCACCAACTAGCCCAAGTGCATACGCTTCTACGATTAATATTAAAAAATTCGAACACCAACCAAGCCCTTCTGTAGGGACCCAACGTTTCAAGGCCAATTCGGCCTCTTCTTCAGGGGCGACTACGGCTATGGCCGTTGAGGAGCAGTGTCCTTTTCTTTTTCTTCTACGGCGTGTGTCTGGTCTTCTTCTTCTACGGCTCTGCCTTTTTCAATAATGTGACGAAGCCCATTCACATAGGCGGATGGTAAAGCCCCTAGAGATCTGTTGATGTTCTGTGGCGTTGTTTGAATGTGCCACGATTCTAGGAACAGTCTTTTTCGAGGATTTGTCTCAACGTCAACGATGCATGCGTTGTCGAAGTCAATGCGATGGTCCTTGACGTCGCAGTGCTCAGCAACCGCGCTACGCTCGTGATCGAATTTGCGCACGTCATTTTTATGTTGACGGATTCTCTCTCTAAAGTTCTTCGTTTCTCCGATGTATGAGGCCGCGCAAACCCCGCACGGAATCTTATATACAACGCCTTGGGCCCTTTCTTTACCAGGGCGATCTTTTGGGCGTGGCATGAGTCGTCCAAGGGTAGACACAGGTTTGTGCGCTAGTTGGATACCTTCTTTCGCAAGCACACGTGCCAGTGCCTCGCTTGTTCCGTTGATGTAGGGAACGCTGATGCGGGAGGTTGGGCGGAAATTCGCACTTAACTGTTGCTGCACGTGTCGTTGGTTTCGGCCTACACGGCGGGCAACGCGATGGATGAAGCTGCTCGTGTAGCCGTTTTTCTTAAGGTCAGCAATGACGGTTCGTTCCTCCTTTCTTTTGTCCTCTTCTGATGAGCAGATGGTCTTTGCCCTGGTTAAGAGTGTCCTGACCACCGACGCCTTATGATTGGCTGGGTGGTTGGATTGAAACTGGAGGTAGCGTCCAGTGTGCGTCGGTTTTCGGTATACAGAGAATTTTAGCTGTTCCTTTTGCCGTTTTACTAGCACGTCCAGGAAAGGTAAGGTTCCGTCCTTTTCGCGCTCCACAGTGAACTGGATGGCAGGCTCGATGGTGTTGAGATGCGCCAGGAATTTGTCCACTTCAGATTTTGCCAGGACGCAGAAGCAGTCATCTACATACCGCAAGAAAATCTTGGGTGGTGTAGATAATGACTGCAGTGCCTTCTGTTCAATAGCTTCCATGCAGAGGTTTGCCGTGGTGACAGAGATGGAAGCACCCATCGCGGTTCCACTGGTCTGCTTGAAGAACTCCCCCCTAAAGCTGAAATATGTACTGTCGAGGCAGAGCTCAAGGAGGCGGCACAGTTCATCGACGCTGAGGTTCGTTCTGTCGCTGAGGTTTTTGTCTTTTTCTAAAGCGTTCCTAGCCGTGACGACTGCCAGGGGAACAGGAACACTTGTAAAAAGCGAGATGACGTCGAACGATACCATGGTGTCCTCAGCGCTCAACTTTAATAGTGCAACCTTCTCTACGAAATCGCTGGAATTGCGCACATAGGTCGTCGTATTTCCCACAAGAGGAGAAAAGGTGCGATGAAGATAGTTGGAAAGAGCACGAAGTGGCGAGGTGGTAAAGTCTATGTGCGCAATTCCAGCGATTTCGTAGAGAAGGTTGCACTATTAAAGTTGAGCGCTGAGGACACCATGGTATCGTTCGACGTCATCTCGCTTTTTACAAGTGTTCCTGTTCCCCTGGCAGTCGTCACGGCTAGGAACGCTTTAGAAAAAGACAAAAACCTCAGCGACAGAACGAACCTCAGCGTCGATGAACTGTGCCGCCTCCTTGAGCTCTGCCTCGACAGTACATATTTCAGCTTTAGGGGGGAGTTCTTCAAGCAGACCAGTGGAACCGCGATGGGTGCTTCCATCTCTGTCACCACGGCAAACCTCTGCATGGAAGCTATTGAACAGAAGGCACTGCAGTCATTATCTACACCACCCAAGATTTTCTTGCGGTATGTAGATGACTGCTTCTGCGTCCTGGCAAAATCTGAAGTGGACAAATTCCTGGCGCATCTCAACACCATCGAGCCTGCCATCCAGTTCACTGTGGAGCGCGAAAAGGACGGAACCTTACCTTTCCTGGACGTGCTAGTAAAACGGCAAAAGGAACAGCTAAAATTCTCTGTATACCGAAAACCGACGCACACTGGACGCTACCTCCAGTTTCAATCCAACCACCCAGCCAATCATAAGGCGTCGGTGGTCAGGACACTCTTAACCAGGGCAAAGACCATCTGCTCATCAGAAGAGGACAAAAGAAAGGAGGAACGAACCGTCATTGCTGACCTTAAGAAAAACGGCTACACGAGCAGCTTCATCCATCGCGTTGCCCGCCGTGTAGGCCGAAACCAACGACACGTGCAGCAACAGTTAAGTGCGAATTTCCGCCCAACCTCCCGCATCAGCGTTCCCTACATCAACGGAACAAGCGAGGCACTGGCACGTGTGCTTGCGAAAGAAGGTATCCAACTAGCGCACAAACCTGTGTCTACCCTTGGACGACTCATGCCACGCCCAAAAGATCGCCCTGGTAAAGAAAGGGCCCAAGGCGTTGTATATAAGATTCCGTGCGGGGTTTGCGCGGCCTCATACATCGGAGAAACGAAGAACTTTAGAGAGAGAATCCGTCAACATAAAAATGACGTGCGCAAATTCGATCACGAGCGTAGCGCGGTTGCTGAGCACTGCGACGTCAAGGACCATCGCATTGACTTCGACAACGCATGCATCGTTGACGTTGAGACAAATCCTCGAAAAAGACTGTTCCTAGAATCGTGGCACATTCAAACAACGCCACAGAACATCAACAGATCTCTAGGGGCTTTACCATCCGCCTATGTGAATGGGCTTCGTCACATTATTGAAAAAGGCAGAGCCGTAGAAGAAGAAGACCAGACACACGCCGTAGAAGAAAAAGAAAAGGACACTGCTCCTCAACGGCCATAGCCGTAGTCGCCCCTGAAGAAGAGGCCGAATTGGCCTTGAAACGTTGGGTCCCTACAGAAGGGCTTGGTTGGTGTTCGAATTTTTTAATATTAATTACTCCCAACCAGACAGATCTCTGTCAAATGTTTACTTTTAAAAGCTTCTACGATTCTGCTAGCGTTGCAGAGCCAGGTGGCACCGTGCTGAAACCCCGTTTTCTGCTCGATTGTCATCATTCGCCGAAGAAGCTTTTTTTTAGACTCCGTGTACGCGTTGAGACTTCCGTTAAGAAGATATGGGAATTTTTACAAAAGCACAGTGCCGCAGGAAAAAGGTAAAACTCGTCGAAAGCAAGGTTCACCGGTCTCACGGCGTGATCAAAGCTTCCTTGGCTCGCCGAAGGGCTGCGTCTCTGTGCCTTCGCACTCTTGGATACCGACCAAGATTCGACGCCGTGTGGTTATGTTTTGCGAGTGCAATGTACATGCGTGAAGCCGCATGTGCTTCTGGAGCAGAGCGTTTTACTTTACTCTGATGACTGTATTCGTAACTTGCGGCACTCGCAGTCCAGAAACGAGCTTGACCCAGCGTCCAGCGGCGAAAGAAGAAGGGAGGGGGGAGGGGGGGAAGGGGGGAAGAGAGAGTACGTTTTTTTTTGTTTTTTTTTTCTTTTTCGTCGTTACTGTTTACAGAATACCGCGCAAGAGCTCCTCATTACTGATCAGAGGCCTGACTCATTAACAAACATGACCAGGGACCCCGGAACCGGGGAGGGCAACGGGGGCTTGAGCACCCGCTGACATTTCAAGGGGGGTGCTGGGCAATATGCTGAGTCCCCGTGCGTGCGTACTGAAAAATGCCTGCACCCCCCACTCCCTCCCCCCTGTGTTCCCGTTGTGGCTCAGCTCCGCCAAGCCACGTATTTGGCTAAGGGCAAGCACGTGGCGCTGTTTTTGTTACGGCTGGTTATTCACCGAATCGCGGCACAACCTTCGTCCGTGAAATTCCAGAAAAAAATTACGAAGTAAAGCAAAGTGTCAGGAAACCGCGGACGACGCGGCAACTCCGAGAAAATGGGGAGAAAAAGTAAAAGCCGGCGCCTGTGGCCTGCATAGCACTATCATGGAGATTTCTCTTCCCCTGAGTAGGGATGGCGGGAAAGATTCCCTTCGAGCGGTAATAGCTTTTAGGCCCCGCCGGCCTTGGTGTTTTCCAATTAGGGGCGCCGCTTCGACGACTTTTCGGAAGGCGGCATCGGTCTTTGTGCTTTGTGTCGCGAGTCCCGCTAACCGCAGAGTCAAGAGTCTTGGCGTGGTAAAGTAAGCAAGTCGCCGCCCCCCAAGTGGGCGTGAGAAGAGCCCTTGCGGGCAAGGTCACTGGGTCGGGAGATTGGGGAATGCCCGCGGGGCATAGTTTACAACCGGCGGAAAGGAAAAAGATGAGCCTCCACGGCCTCTCCGAGATTGGTGGGATGTTCGCTGGCACTGGGACCAATACGGTTGTTTAAAGGGATACTACAACGAAATTTCGGCGCTCATTTTTTGGTCTATATGTGTTCAAAAGAGCAGTATCATAGGGAACATACCAATATCTTGTTAAAAAAAGTCTCGAAAAGGAATTTTAAAACGAATTAAACGATTAGCAAAGAGCACCTGGTGGATGTCGCTAACGCCTCGTTTGTAATGCTCGTCTAGGAACCTTGACAGCTAGTGA